TGGAAAGGCAAAAATTATTGAATTAAAAAGGAGCAGACTTCTCCAACTAATGATGATCTATTGGCTTCAGGGATCAGGCGGATACGATGGATGTAAATGAGTAGGATAGCTTGTTTACATAATGTTGACTCACCATGCATGGATGATGGAATTGATAATGAAATGGAACCCATTATACATGGATAGTTTGTTTACTTTAGAAAACGGATGATAAACAAAAGCCACAAGAAGGGATTTAATAAAGAGTGAGATAAATGACATTTTCTGTGGCTTTTTGAATGTAGGGAACACGAAAATTCATGCTAGACGACGGTGTCTCAAAATATGCCGATTGCAAGAGAAATAAAAAAAAGTATTATGCTGAGTGAAAAGTATGTCCAGACAGGAGCAATCTATAATTTCGAGAAGAGCTTACGTAATATTCTTTACCATACTTTCTATAAATCGTTCAGTAAATAAAATAAAAACGACTCTTATGGGATTTTAAGATGGATTTTCTCATAGCTAAGTTCTCAGAGCCTACCTCGTCACATAATAGTGCATCATTTCGAATTGTAGAAGCAAAAAATAAGAAAGATCGGGTTATTCAGGCCTTAGATTTTATAATTTTTGCTATGAGCGCCGGGGGATAGAATCATTAGATAATACGGTTGAACGTATCAAATCGCTAATTTTAATCTCTGTAACATTCGATATTTTAATTGCTCGATCGCAAATGGTTCTTCAGTTGGGAGTCATCGAATTAAACTGAATTAGAATAAATTAATTAAATTAAACTAAAGAGTCATCGAATTAAATAGAAGAGGAACTGGGAGTGTCACGGAACTGGATTGGGGATTTAGTGATTTGCGCGAGAAATGGCGTGGTGAATGGGGAGGAGGTATAGGATATGGCTGGATGAATAGGACGGAGGATACAAATGTCAGGTTAAATGGAAAGGCAAAAATTCTTGAATTAAAAAGGAGCAGACTTCTCCAACTAATGATGATCTATTTTCATCACGGATCAGGCGGATACGATGGATGTAAATGAGTTGGATAGCTTGTTTACATAATTTTGACTCACCATGCATGGATGATGGAATTGATAATGAAATGGAACCCATTATACATGGATAGTTTGTTTACTTTAGAAAACGGACGATAAACAAAAGGCACAAGAAGGGATTTAATAAAGAGTGAGATAAATGACATTTTCTGTGGCTTTTTGAATGTAGGGAACACGAAAATTCATGCTAGACGACGGTGTCTCAAAATATGCCGATTGCAAGAGAAATAAAAAAAAGTATTATGCTGAGTGAAAAGTATGTCCAGACAGGAGCAATCTATAATTTCGAGAAGAGCTTACGTAATATTCTTTACCATACTTTCTATAAATCGTTCAGTAAATAAAATAAAAACGACTCTTATGGGATTTTAAGATGGATTTTCTCATAGCTAAGTTCTCAGAGCCTACCTCGTCACATAATAATGCATCATTTCGAATTGTAGAAGCAAAAAATAAGAAAGATCGGGTTATTCAGGCCTTAGATTTTATAATTTTTGCTATGAGCGCCGGGGGATAGAATCATTAGATAATACGGTTGAAAGTATCAAATCGCTAATTTTTATCTCTGTAACATTCGATATTTTAATTGCTCGATCGCAAATGGTTCTTCAGTTGGGAGTCATCGAATTAAACTGAATTAGAATAAATTAATTAAATTAAACTAAAGAGTCATCGAATTAAATAGAAGTTAAAATGACGTTAATTTTATCCAATTTAGCCTAATTCAAAATAGAGGCAGTAAAAATTGAAAATTGTATTATTGCGTAGATTTTTTAATGAAAAGACGTCTAAGTTAGGAAGCTATATATGGCGGTGGGGGGAGCTGCCATCTGCGACCACCAAGCTATTCTGAGCTCGGCGTGCCTGGGCGTGTATGAGCGTGTGTGTGTGTAGTGTGTGTGTATAGTGTGTGTGTAGTATGCTTAGTGTGTATGTGTAGTGTGTGTGTAGTTCGGAATAGCGTGTGTAGTGTGTGAATAGTTGGGCATAGTGGGTGTATACTTGGGTAAATTGTGTATAGTGTGTATGTGTAGTGTGTGTGTGTGTGTGTATGTAGTCTGAGTGTGAGTAGTGTGTGTGTGAGTAGTGTGTGTGTAGTGTGCGTGGTGTGTGTGCAGTGTGTGTCAACGTGTAAGCCTATCAAGCGCAATTATTGGTTAGTTAAATTTTAAATACAAGATTATTCCGGCGTAGCAATTGCTCGATAATATAATATGTGCAATTATAAAGTCCCGTCATCAAGGTTTTTTTTAATCATATTAACAATCATTAAGAATATATATGACGGTTAAAATAAACATTCAAACTCACATTTCACGAGAAATATAGAACTCCAACTTGACTCTCGTTTCAAAAGGTGGTAAACATTGTGCCTTCTTAACGTAATTTATAAATACCAATTTAAAGAAAATATTTTAATTTTAGATCCAATTGTTTTCCTTCAGTTTTGCAATTCTTTTCTATTATTTCACTGGAAATAAGTTCTCATGACTATAACTATAAGTAATATGCCAACACGAAAGTAGTTGACCAATATTGGCACAATGATAAGTCGCTATTTGAACAAAATATTACTTTAAATTTTAGGCTAATATGTCTGATTTTATAACATGATAACTTACTGCGTAATAACTGTGGTCCAAGTTCAGACAAAGCTAAATATGCTATGGCATTGCAGAAGCCTATTAGGATCGATTATCGTAGACTGCTTGAAAAAAATAATTAATCGGGTACAGTATCCATCGAGACAAACACAGAATTCATGTGGGGAAAACTTTTAAAAATTAATCCCAAAAAGTATAGAACATAACTGTTCCTTTGACCGAAGCAATTATGGGGCATTAATCTGGGTCTTCGGAGATTGAATCTGCATCAATATACCCGATCGCCCGGTGGAAAGTGCCTCGATCGATCACGATCTATTAGGCTGAATTTTTTTTCTCGCAGCGTGACGGAATACAGCATGGTAAAGCATGCCGGTCGCATGCAGTATGACCGAATACAGCATGGCAAAATATGCCGGCCGCGTGCAGCATGAGCGTATTCAGCATGACATTACATGCCGTCACTTGTCAGTTTGATGACAGCAGTCGTTGGGTTCACAGAAAATGGTTCCGGCCATTCTTTCGAATTTGGAAGGAGGACTACATTCGCTCTAAGAAAATCTTGTTGAAACAATTAATCTATTTCGTTAAATTTCAGACAACGAACATTAAAGTTGTACACGAGAGTATTCAAAGTAGCATTTGCATAAGGGTTTGCTGGAAAAAGTTACAATACACCACTTTTGACGACTTTTGTATTCGACATAACAGAATTTGAGAAATCGCTTCATTCAAGGTATTTTTTTAAATGTAATCTTATTTTTCACTCCAATTCTAAGTTCTGAAGTGCAATCCCTAGCCTCAATCAATTGCTTCATTTTCTTTCCTTAATCACAAGAACAATTACATGCTTCAAACACTAGCCTCAACTACATGCTTCAATCACTTGCTCCAATAAGGTGCTTCAGTCACTAGCTCCAACTACTTGCTTCAATCATCTGTTTCAACCATTAGTAAAAGCGAATCTTTCAACAACATACTTCAATCACTCACTTCTATTAATTAATTAATTGTTTCAATCCTTGAATCGATCACAAGCTTTAATCATTGCTTCATCCATCTTCAATCGTATGACCCAGTTCAATCATTTGCCTCAATCCCTTGCTTCAATTACTATGATCTCTCTCTTTCTCCAATCCCTTGGTACAATCTCATGTTTCAATCAATAGCTTCAATCCCTTGCCTATAATGCTTACTCTAATCACTAGCTTCAATAACATTCAATATCCATTGCTTTCTCCACTAGCTTCAATATCCATTGATTTTTTCAATCATCCGCTTCAATCACTTGTCTATTTTACTTACCCTAATCACTATCTTCAATACCTGGTATAGCATTTATTACTTTCTTCAATCAACAGGTTCAATCTCTCGCCTTTATTCCCTTCATGCCAAACTACTGAGATAAAGTCGCGCTTCAGATGGGCGCAGCAAAAAGGCATGCGAGTCACCAAATGTCTCACACAATGTCTCTCCCTCACGCCTCGTTTAATTATGGTTCTTTTAATATTGCTTGTCAGGTGGCAGTGGCTGAGACACTAAAAACGCCGTAAAAAGTAATGGATATGATAGGGGTCTAGGTGAGAGTTGCGTCGTTAAAAGTAGTTGGTTTTTATCACGATGACATCGAACGGAAGTCGCAATATCGTATTAAAATTTTTGATACAATTTCTATGTTGAATATTCGAAAATTTGATGTACTTCAGTACTTGTCATGGCATTTAAATGCAGCAATCGTTTTTCATTTATTGTTTTGGACGAGTGAAGGAAGGAAAATTTCTTGGTTCAAGCGAACTTGCTTTTTCTTTATGCTGTAAAAATTAATGATAAAATTTAAACTTTGCGAGACCGGTCGTCGAATTTAACTGTAAGAAAAGGGTTTTAACTTCAAAATTTCACGAAAAAATTTAATAGAACCTATCACGTGTTACAGTGTTTGCGGTGATTCCAAAAAATTGCACAATCGTAAGCAAAAACATGCAAATATGTAAGTTGAAATTCGCACAGAAGAATGTTTTCATGTTCTTATGAGGCTGTACTGCATCTTTTATATCCATAAGATTTTCTTGCGCAAACGTGGGATTGCTTAAAAGTGTTTGGTAGAGCCCATCTCTGATTTCAAAATAAGAAGGGCTTTTAGAGAACCACTAAGATGGAGCAAGACTCCTCTCGCTTCAGAGCTGTTGCTCTGCTGCAGACATACATTTCTCTGCACTCACATTGTAAATTAACTCAAGCCGCTCTGCATCCAACAGAGTCCTTTTAAACCATGTGCGTAGCTATGAATGCAGCTTCGTATATAAGAGCTCAACCCCCAGCGAGATGCGTCCTTTTCGTACCAGATTTCATTCAAGGTGGATACGAGTCAGCCAAACCTGGAGGTACCACAAAATTGTTGTTAGGCCTCTTAAATTGTAGATCATAACTTTTTCGCAGCGAATCCATCTCGTGCACTTGTATGTGAATTGATAATTTATTTCATGGTGCACATTTGATGGTCATCTATTGCTAGTTTGGATGAAATTCACTTAGCTTAAATTATTGAAGAAGGAATTAAAAAGAAATATTCAGTTAAGAATATTTCTTTTCTGTAAAAAAAGAATATTCATTGTAAAGAAATATTCATTGATTTGACTGGTGTTTGAGCAGTTAATCACTCATGCGAATTTTTCTGCGAACTTGACTAACATTTGTGGCAGGTATTTTTAAACTTTCATGGCTGTCTTCAAATTTTCTGTCATTATTTTATACTGCAGGATTTGACCACTTGCGACGAGGCTAGTCCTCTGGTGGTGGACAATGGCTCAGGGATGGTGAAATCTGGTTTCGCCGGTGATGACGCTCCCAGAGCTGTGTTCCCCTCCATCGTCGGCCGCCCCCGTCACCAGGGTGTCATGGTCGGCATGGGTCAGAAGGATGCCTACGTCGGTGACGAGGCCCAAAGCAAGCGAGGTATCCTTACTCTGAAGTACCCCATCGAGCACGGTATCATCACCAACTGGGATGACATGGAGAAGATCTGGCATCACACCTTCTACAACGAGCTGAGAGTGGCACCCGAAGAATCTCCTACTTTGCTGACCGAAGCTCCTCTCAATCCAAAGGCAAACCGAGAAAAAATGACACAAATTATGTTCGAAACATTCGGAATGCCAGCAATGTATGTCGCCATACAAGCAGTTCTCTCTTTGTATGCTTCTGGGAGAACTACCGGTATAGTTTTAGACTCAGGTGATGGAGTGTCTCATGTAGTTCCAGTCTACGAAGGCTTTGCTCTGCCCCATGCTATTCTACGTTTAGATCTCGCTGGCAGAGACCTGACTGACTATCTGATGAAGATTATGACCGAACGAGGCTATTCCTTCACGACGACAGCGGAACGTGAGATTGTGAGGGATATAAAAGAGAAGCTTTGCTACGTCGCTTTGGACTACGAGTGCGAGTTGGGAGTGGCGGCGGTTTCCTCATCTTTGGACAAGTCATACGAGCTTCCAGATGGCCAACTCATCACAATTGGAAACGAGAGGTTCCGAGCCCCCGAAACTTTGTTCCAACCGTCTTTTTTGGGGATGGAATCTGTTGGAGTCCACGAGACTGTGTACAACTCGATTATGAAATGTGATGTTGATATTCGTAAAGACCTGTACGCCAACACAGTACTCTCTGGAGGTACTACCATGTACCCTGGTATTGCTGACCGCATGCAGAAAGAGATCACAACTCTCGCTCCCTCCACCATCAAGATCAAGATCATTGCTCCCCCTGAGCGTAAGTACTCCGTTTGGATCGGTGGCTCCATCTTGGCCTCCCTCTCCACCTTTCAAGCCATGTGGATCACCAAGGAAGAGTACGACGAATCTGGGCCGTGTATCGTTCATAGGAAATGTTTCTGAACAATGAACATAACACGTACTACATGCTATTTTCATTCTTAAATCGTATATCAGAATCTAAGCTCGAATATTCTGTTGAACTTTTTTCTGTTTTATTGAAGTCTCATAGTGAATCTTATAAGGTACGATTAATATTCTGCCTGTTACATGTCATCATATCTAAACTTCTCAGCTATAGAAAATACTCATAGCAACAGTTGGGCATAAGTGTAAGAAAATCATTTTGGTATTTTTTGTTATTTTCAAACACACGCATCGGAAATTTATTGCTGTAAGACAATCACACTCGCTTGCTATTCACTGATATGAAACGAAAACGGACATTACCATTAGTACGGAAATTTGTCCTTAATGAATAACCTTGTGTGAATTATACATTGGGTACGGGCTAAAAGTAAGACAGTTGCTGTTTTCGAAATAAAGATTAATTTATGTTTCTAAGTCGAAAAAAGTATATTAACAATTAAATTGGATTAACCGATTTTACCGCGTTTACGTTCGTCCCCTTCGTAACTTTCAATATGTATCAAGAGATCCAAAAAATAAACTAAGCTCAATAGTTGAAAAAAGAAAACCAGCCAACACTGACTTCAGAATTGTCAAGGATTCTTTCTGCGCTGTAGAATATTCATACGAGAAAAAGTATATCTCTCTGTTCATTTTTATTTTTTAATTTCTTGGATATTACAAGTAAAAATTTAATTCATGATCAATGAACGTAGTTATCGTTTATATGGCAAGTATACTTAGCATCTTGGGGCCGCAAAAAAGTAACTCATGTTTGTACAACATACTGTATTTACATTTGTATATCAATATATACAATATAGTGATCCGTATCTCCATATATGTCGACATACTCGTACTCTTACACATGTTAACATTAGTAAATTATTAAATTGTGAAGCGAGTATCGTCTGTTCATCAGCTGTCATTTCTAGCGTCAGCTTTGGTGTCACGCCGAGCGTGTAGTGACTGCGTCAAAAGCCCCTGCGAATACTTGACATCACGAGGTGTCAGAAATGGTGGCGCGATGGTGAGAAATGCACCATTTCGTCACAATACGCGGTTTATTTCCTTGACTTACTCACCATCTGCAGACGTGTGAGAACAGGTGGTGCGCACAGGTGATGAGTCGTCTTGCTTGTAGGAGTTTGAACAGGTGGTAAGTTCTTCATTGAGACGAGTTGATGGACCATGAATGTTTGGATATAAAGCAAGTTTTGGAGGTTGTCAAATTCAGTCTCGCGCGAGCCGTAGTAAGGATTACAGGTGAGAACAGAAATCGAGAAAATATTTCGCTACTTGTAGTTGATTCTTCACATTCATAAGCAGAGCAATCATTCCACATGAATTTTCATTGTAGTTATGCGTTCTAAACTTCACTTTGTCAAATAACCAATATTCTGATTACCTGCCATTTACTTTCATAGAAAATTTATTATGCCCAATTTGTAGCCATTTAAATTTTTTGCATATTATATATGTTTTTCATACAGAGGAATATTTGCGATAAAATGTAATTAAATGACTGATATTCCACTCGATCACCTATACGTAAGCATTAACCAAGCTATTACGTTTCAACATGCTAGGGTTTTCATTCTGAACTAATAACAATTAGGCCTGACAGAAAACGAACTCTTCCAATGATTTTTTATAACCTGATGCGTTCCTTTTTTATACCTGCAAAATACAAGGTAGGATCCGTCCCGGTATTTCTTACCAAAAAATCTTTACATTCTATTAACATTCCCAGGTCGACCACTCTAAACTTCCGCAATGTGCGACGAGGAAGAAACGGGTGCACTTGTAGTTGACAATGGCTCTGGAATGGTGAAAGCAGGGTTTGCTGGTGATGACGCTCCCAGATGTGTTTTTCCTTCGATCGTCGGCCGCCCCCGTCACCAGGGTGTCATGGTCGGCATGGGTCAGAAGGACGCCTACGTCGGTGACGAGGCCCAGAGCAAGCGAGGTATCCTAATAAAAATCAAGATAATTTCTCCTCCAGAAAGAAAATATTCTGTTTGGATTGGTGGTTCAATCCTTTCATCGCTGTCTACTTTCCAGGCCATGTGGATTACCAAAGAAGAGTATGATGAATCAGGACCTGGTATCGTTCATCGCAAGTGCTTCTAGTTCGTAAACTAGAAGCACTCAAATTAACGGATGCCAAAATTTTGGCTCCCGAGCTTTACGCGTAGCAGACCTGAAGTAGCATAAGCTATGAGGTTCTTTATAACATGCAACAATAAAAATAAAAATCACAATAGATTATTTTCCATTGAGGAACTGGCTGCATCAAGAAAGCAATGGCGTCTTCTGAGCTTTCCATGCTGAATAGACAATAATTATTTCGTGGCAAATGATAAATGAGAACAAATTTGGAGCGGGTTTCTACATGCGCTATTAAATTTTTCTTGATGACTCTTAAGCATTCGTTTCCTCAAATTAATGATGTAATCATTTACATCATTCTAGATAACCGTTTGGCATCATGAACTATGTTCTAACCTTCCTTCGATATGTCAATAGACGAGTGATCTGCTTTTTGAAATTTTTCGAATTTATGTATTATAAATTAGAATATTGTTTTAGGTACGTATATGATAATTTTGAATTTCTCACCAAGATGTTTTAGGCGTCCGGAATGGAAATAGTGTACATTTATGCTGATAGTGAGGTGGCAAAATGTTTCTTTGTGGAAAAACGAAGGATGTGGGCATAGTTGGGGCTGGGCTGGCTGTCGGGCAGGGCTGGGGCCATAGGGCTGGCTAAATATACTCGATCTTGTTTCTTTTTCACACAAACAAGTGTTGGGAGGTGTCGAGAGAAACGCCCAGTGCACGCTAGTTTGTTGTAAACTCTTTGGTTTTAATTTGCAGAGCACTAAATCCTTACCTCGGTACATGCAAAATCAATTACATGGATGCACAGATATGATTTTATCGACGTGTTCTAGAATCTTTGATCTTATAGTTTTGCATCAAACCCTCATGGTTTACTCACAATTGTTGACGATCTCACCGATAACTCCCGTGCCTGTATGAGTTCTTCAAACCACATAAATTCAAAAACATTCAATATACGATAATCTGTCGACCCCTGATCGTGTGCAGCTTGAACGACAAGCTGCACACGTTTCTCGAGTTTAAGTTAACATTTCGACTCAAAGCCTAGGAGCGGCGCCTGCATCAGTAAAGGAGCAGTGCAGTTGCCTTGCGTATAAAAGCATAAACTCGGACGTACGCACCACCCATTCCGCCTTAGGCACGTGCTGAAAGAGGTAGGTTTCCTTTGCAAGTTAGGTTTGCTGTCCAGTAGATTTATGTTACCTTACGCACTGAGACTGTGGTCATGAGTCGGGCTGGAAGTAAGGATTTGGTTTTATACAACACGATATGCAATATTATAGCAAGAAGTTTATTTATACCGAGTGTTCAAGAAGTGTTATTAATTTCCAAACGTTTAAATGTTTTTTTTCTGTTCCTATAGAAGACAACTGTAAAACTAATCATGACAGTGAAATTGAATGCTTATATGTCGTATCAGCCCATTCATGATTGCGTGTCCAGTTCATGAGGCAAGCATTGTGGCACGCTTTTCAGAGAGTGCGAGAACTTCATTTTTCATTTCATAAATAGTTTCAGTGGCCTAATTTTTCGGTAGGCCCGGTCCTAATTATGACGGGGCCTAATTTTTCTATCAGGATTAGCATAATCGATGCTGTAAGCTCTAAATAAAGTATCGCTAACATTGAAAAAAGGTGAATTTTACTTTTCTTCTATTATAATCAATTGTTTTAATTAAAATTTTGATTATTTTCAAAGCTGAGCGCTTGAAAATAAGTGTAGAAAAACAAGTTGGAAAATAATCTAATACAATAATGAATTGAATTTGAGTGAAAATATGAATACGCTCTTCAACATGAAATTTTTGAACCTAACAGGTATCTGATAAGAGAAGACCCTTACAATCCTGTTATGACTTTCGTTATATGTTTTCTCCGATATAATCGGAAATTATTTTCGTTTAGCATATCATTGATTTATTTTTTTTCTGCCACAACGAACCGCTTTTTCTAATTTTAAGGACAATGAATGAATTGTAGCTCTCTGATGTCAGTTCGATTAGATCTTTTTCTTACCAGACATTCGGCCTGAATACCTCACCAACCATGAGTGACGAAGACTCCTGCGCTCTTGTGGTTGACAACGGCTCCGGCATGGTCAAGGCCGGTTTCGCCGGTGATGACGCTCCCAGAGCTGTGTTCCCCTCCATCGTCGGCCGCCCCCGTCACCAGGGTGTCATGGTCGGCATGGGTCAGAAGGACGCCTACGTCGGTGACGAGGCCCAGAGCAAGCGAGGTATCCTTACTCTGAAGTACCCCATCGAGCACGGTATCATCACCAACTGGGATGATATGGACTGGCATCATTCCTTTTATAATGAGCTCAGAGTTGCTCCTGAAGAGTCTCCGGTTCTTTTGACAGAAGCTCCTCTCAATCCAAAAGCAAACAGAGAAAAGATGTCGCAAATTATGTTTGAAACTTTCTCGACTCCCGCCATGTACGTCGCCATCCAGGCCGTGCTCTCCCTGTACGCCTCTGGCCGTACCACCGGCATCGTGCTTGACTCTGGTGATGGTGTCTCCCACACCGTCCCCATCTATGAAGGTTATGCTCTTCCCCACGCCATCCTCCGTCTGGACTTGGCTGGTCGCGATCTTACCGCATACCTCATGAAGATCATGACTGAGCGTGGCTACTCCTTCACCACCACCGCTGAGCGTGAAATTGTCAGAGACATAAAAGAGAAGCTTTGCTACGTCGCTCTCGATTTCGAAGCTGAAATGAACGTTGCAGCCGCCTCATCGTCACTGGAGAAGTCCTACGAGCTTCCCGACGGTCAGGTCATCACCATCGGCAACGAGCGTTTCCGCGCTCCCGAGTCTCTCTTCCAGCCTTCCTTCTTGGGTATGGAATCCGTTGGCATCCATGAAACCGTATACAACTCCATCATGAGGTGTGACATTGATATTAGGAAAGATTTGTATGCCAATAACGTCCTGTCTGGCGGTACCACCATGTACCCTGGTATTGCTGACCGCATGCAGAAGGAAATCACCTGCCTTGCTCCCTCCACCATTAAGATCAAGATCATTGCTCCTCCTGAGCGCAAGTACTCCGTATGGATCGGTGGCTCCATCCTTGCCTCCCTCTCTACCTTCCAGCAGATGTGGATCACCAAGGAAGAGTACGATGAATCTGGCCCAGGCATCGTCCATCGTAAATGCTTCTAATTCCAACAGTAATCATATAATCACGCGAGAAAAAAAGAAGAAATGTAATTTTTTAGCCCATATTATCAGGTGTACAACCCCAGTAATAACAGAATAACTCCGTTATCTGATGCGCCATGTAATTTATGTGTGACAATTCCTTAAAATAAATGAAAAAATCTTATAATATCAATGGTGTCATTTATTTTCGCTCACTTCCTTCATCATTAATATATTACGAGTATCGGTATTTCTATTCTGAGAACAGTTACAACTAAGTGAGCAAATCATAGATGCTATTTTCCCCATCAGAGCGTCCATTATGAATACTCACCCCGAAACATTCGTCTTGTTCGTCGTAAGGCAAATCTCAATATAATCCCTGACAGTTGATTATCCATTCATAGCAGATTTCTCCTTCACTTGCAATTTTCCTTTTATTTTTCATAAAATTATCATACGAAAATAAAGCAAGAGGCGTCTTTTTCTAGCAACCATTTCAAGAAGAATCCACACTTAGATTCTACATTCTATAATTTGAAACAAAATTCGATTTGATTAAAATTGGGACTAAATTTAGTGATGACTTACTGTTCCATTTTGAAATTCAACTCTCGCTTTTTAATACCTCAAGAGAAACATTTCTAGATTAATATGTTTAAGGTTAGGTTAGGTAATCTCTAAAATTTTGTTACTTTTTAACTCTCCATCTTGCTGCAGCCTATGAAATTAGGTTGAGTCCGGTTAGGTTTGTTTGGGTGGAGAGTCGAGGTAGAGGTGTAGGTAGGGCCATGCTGGTGTTTCATATTCTGACTGACTTGGACAGTGATCGTTGACTTATGAAGCTAGGGCTTTAAGCATTTAACTTTATAGGCTACTCTACCTTATAGCATTCCTGCGCGCGGATAAGAATACAAACAAAAGTATGAAGTTGGGACTTGCTAACCTTTAACACGCACATCCTAGCATTGATTACCTCTGAGACTGATAATCCCAAATTCAGTTATTTATCACCGGATTTCACTGTCCTGCTATTCCGAATCTCGTCATTCCGAACCCAGTCAACATGGGTTCCGTTATCCTGAGTCGCACTTCAAACAATTATACAAGACACAAACTTTCAAAGTTAAGAGTGATAAATAATTTAACTGTGGAGAATAGTGTTGTACCATATCTCGTCACAGTAAATCGCGTTAAATATTCTCAAGCTTACATAATGTTATTAAGAGAAAGACCAAATAAGAGATGGCAACATTCTATCATATTGTTATATTATTATTTTTGAACTGCCTTTTTCTTCAGATTGACTTCCATAACCCTGCAAAAAATGCTATCAGAATTTTCAAACTGACCATCTTTGCTGTGTTAAATTTTCACATTTAATTGAGGATATAGGAGCGGCCGGGCACCCTCCTCAACTCCTATTTTTACAACACTTCTCTTTAACCTCACTTCTTGTTGTTTGTTTGTTTCTCTGCTACAAATGTTATAATCGATATTTAACATGCTTCTACCGTTCCAATCGATCTGAGATTTTGCTCACTTGCGTAAAGTTGGAGAAAATGCATGAATCAATAGACAGAATAAAGAATTAAAAAAAATTAAATTATGTTGTAATATTAAAAAAGTTAAAAATAATTTTGTCGGCTACAAATCTTCTAATCTATTTTTAACACACTTCTACCTGTCCAATATATCAGAAATTGTGCAATTGCGTTAAGTCGGAAACAGTGCCAGAATCGATTGACAGAATAAATAATTTTGAAAATTTAACTTTATTTTATATATTAAAAAAAGTTAATAATTATTTTATTTAATATTTGACAAAAAATTTGAAAATCTTTGTACATGCGTAACATCGGAAACACTGGATTCTTTAGAAGTGTTGTCTTTCAAAAGTAATTTTTAAACGCAAATTATATATTAAAAAAATTATATATATATTAAAATAATTGAAAAGTTAATTTTTTTAATTTTTGGAAATTAGATGAAAAATTCATTGTACATCTCTAAGATTGGAGATACTGGACTCTTTGGAAGTGTTGAGCTTCTACCGTTCCAATCGATCTGAGATTTTGCTCACTTGCGTAAAGTTGGAGAAAATGCATGAATCAATAGACAGAATAAAGAATTAAAAAAAAATTAAATTATTTTGTAATATTAAAAAAGTTAAAAAATAATTTTGTCGGCTACAAATCTTCTAATCGATTTTTAACACACTTCTACCTGTCCAATATATCAGAAATTGTGCAATTAAGTAAAGTCGGAAACAATGCCAGAATCAATTGACAGAATAAATAATTTTGAAAATTTAACTTTTTTTATATATTAAAAAAGTTAATAATTATTTCATTTAATATTTGAAAAAAAAAATTGAAAATCATTGTACATGCGTAACATCGGAAACACTGGATTCTTTAGAAGTGTTGTCTTTCAAAAGTAATTTTTAAACGCATATTATTATTTACTAGGAGGCATGGGGGCTGGTGCCATGCTGAACTGTATAGTAAACTGAGTGGGGATATTTTCGCCTTTAACATCGTGGATTAGAAAACATGGTGATGACGTAGGATGAAGACTTAGAAAAAATAGAGCTGTCGTTTTAATGCGGCGAAATTTAAACGATGATATTAAAAATACGACTGTTATTACCACATGTGTAGTTTCTTTAAGATTAACATTTAAATTTATTCATGTAAATTCAAAAACACGAACGTTATTATCACACAAGTATTTTCTTCAAAAATTTATGAAGAACGGATTATTGTACAACTACTTATTGGAATTTTCTTTTTTGGAAACATACCTTTCTGTCAGTGAAATCACGTAGATATAAAACAAAATGCCCATAATTTACAATGCAATACAGTGGGAGTGCTTCCTTGATTATCCAAAAAAAGCAAATAATAATCAGAACAGGTAAATTTTTTGTCCGTTTTCATGACTCTGCTGTTAAGATAGCAATATTAAAACCTCTGTTCTGGCGAAGAAAGGTCTAAACCAAGCCAATCAAACGTGGAAAATATCGTAATAAAATGAAATATATCATATTTAGTGCAGCACGGTGGTGGACCTAGTCAGCTGGTATGAAGACGTTCATGAAAGAACCAACGTGTTGGCATTCACTTGGCTTTTAAATGTAATTGAATCTATACGATTGTCTGCTGTTGAATTCGAGATTTTAAGGCACAAAAAAAAAATATTCTCTGACCGCCGCTTCTGGTAATTAGAAATTTCGTCATTGTAACGACTATAACAAACTTTACGAAGTGAATTTTTTAAAGTTATATTATAATTGTGACAACAAGTTGGGTTGTTTAGAGTTACATTATAACTGTGACAACAAAGTGGGTTGTTTAGAGTTACGTTATAACTGTGACAACAAAGTGGGTTGTTTAGAGTTACGTTATAACTGTGACAACAAAGTGGGTTGTTTCAAGTTACTTGTAATTGTTAGCTCCAACTGTTTAGAGGCCGGGGCGACATTCAGCGAATGCGAGCCAAGGTTCGTTATGATCCAAGCCAGGCTTTTTGTTCATTTGTGCCTTGCAGCATCAGAAGTATATATAGCTATCTTAGATTCTTGTTTGAATATATTGAGATATTTTATTTATAATTAATCAAGAAATTAACATGACAAGAAAATAAATAAAAATATCACATTTCACATGAATGTTAGAGACGGTTATCCGAAATTAACTACCAGAAATTGATTTGATGGCAGTTTTTTGAGCGTCATGGTAGACGAGTGCTTGACTTTGGTGTCTACAATTAACGCGCGTGGTCGGCAGGGAACGAAATGTGCCCCCATCATCGGGGGCGGGGGGCATTGATGCGACCGAGTGTGCGATGTACATTACCGTGTACGTCTGTGTTGTAATTCGCTGTATTTTGTAGCTGTTGTTTTTTTTTTTGTTGGCGGCGTCATTGGTGGTGGTGGGAGACGAGTCTCGACTATATATAAGGGAGGACTCTTGAAAACTTGTCTCAGTCGAAGGGCTCCTCGATACTGGTGGTTAGTGCAGGTATGGGCGTGTGACTTATATTAGTGGTGTTTATATATTTGTTTAGAGAAGCAACTCAACTCGCAAATTGGCTCAATTTGAATTCGAACTCGAAGCGTTTCTGTAATATTTTGCTCTTTCGTCAACACTTTTTACTATACTTCGTGGACTGGTGCTGAATAGAATAGATTCAATTGCATAATAGTTTGAAAAGTTGATCGCTTATAAGGTACCAGAAATACATTATTAATTGTCAGACTTGGCATACGTTTTCTGGTTGTGATCCTCTTATGTTGTGTGTGATCCTCTCTGTACCAAGAGGCATCTCCGTGTTGAAATAACGTTGATTGAACGTTGTTTCAACGAAATCAACTTTTAATGAACGTCATTTCAACGTGACTTGCCGGGATGGTGGATCTAACGCAACATCTCAACCAGATAAATGATTTAATCAGAGGACTAACACAAATTCAAAACGATAAAAATTCCTTCTGAAATTTATTCAGTTCATTAGTCGAGTGGCCGTTCTTCATTAATTGGCTAATGATAACTCATGACTTTCATTGGTCCTCAACGATTCAAATCTCGCTTTCTCTTTCGGGACCTTGTGCCATCTTTACATAAAAAATACCACAATTAGGTTTGTTTCAAGCAAGTCAAAATAAGTAATAGGCCAAATTATTTAGGAATCATTGTTTAGAATCTTTTGAATGAGTTAACTGTGCTCATTTAAAATCGTTTGATTATTATGTTACGAAAACAAGAATTAAAAGGTAACAGGAATTTGATTTGGATTAAAATTCTAGACTACTTCCCTTGAGAACCGAATTTGACGCACCTTTAATGAATAAGATTAAATTTATCAACTTAAAACGAAGATGTTTAGAAATAAACACCGGAAATTCTCACCTGGATAAACTAGTTCCGAAATACTGTCTTGAGTGTAAAAATGTTTCGAAAAATTTGAAAAAATTAACGCTGAGATCTGAAAGCGATTAAGGACTCGTCATGCCCGGCATTAAATTGCAAAAACTAAATGAAATATTTCGAGGGATTTAACTAAGCCAGTTCAATCATTTCACTGTCGAAATACTTCACTGACCTAAGCAATAAGTTTCTTTCAATAACAGAGAAATGAGACATATTGCGCCAGTCTAGTCCTAGTTCATTTTTAGAATTATTATTGGTAATTACGAACCGGTTGCTCCTCTTAGAACAAAAATGCCGTATTGCCAATTTATTTACGCTTAATTCATGGTTAAGGTTAATTGGATGGCAGGAATTCATCATTTAGCAATAAAAAAACCCTGGTACATAAATTAAATCGCACTTTTTCGTGCAATTTTCAAGTGAATCTAACTAAAAAAAGTAATACAGTTGTGTAGCGCTTACGTTAACCACGCGAAATTAAATTTGTAAAAAATGAAATGATTTTTTTAGAATGTTTGTAATTTTTAGGCGCATTGACTGGCGTGCGGCTAATGTGCACTTTCGACGTAATATTAAAAAGAGTGCATAATCGAATTAACGTCTCCTGAAAATTTCGTACTATAGATCAATTTTTCCGTCTAAAATAAAAGCTCTAGTTCACAATACCAAATCCAATTCAAGATGTATTTCTAGCAAACTTTTGCTGATGCAATGTTCTTGCAGAATCTGTAGTTAGGGACAGGGCAGTCAAATCAATTTCCTAGACAATTGTTGTTATTAATAACAACTCAACCTAGCCGATAGCAGTTTGAAAAAATTCTCGCCCATGGTGTTAAATGTGTCGTTTGTTACGTTTCAGACTAGACCTCGCATCGCAAAACCGCAAAAATGTGTGACGACGACGCTTCCCCTCTTGTGGTTGACAACGGCTCCGGCATGGTCAAAGCCGGTTTCGCCGGTGATGACGCTCCACGAGCTGTGTTCCCCTCCATCGTTGGCCGCCCCCGTCATCAGGGTGTCATGGTCGGCATGGGTCAGAAGGATGCCTACGTCGGTGACGAGGCCCAGAGCAAGCGAGGTATCCTTACTCTGAAGTACCCCATCGAGCACGGTATCATCACCAACTGGGATGAACGTAAGGACCTCTTCGCCAACAACGTCCTGTCTGGTGGTACCACCATGTACCCTGGTATTGCTGACCGCATGCAGAAGGAAATCACCTGCCTTGCTCCCTCCACCATCAAGATCAAGATTATTGCTCCCCCTGAGCGCAAGTACTCCGTATGGATCGGTGGCTCCATCTTGGCCTCCCTCTCTACCTTCCAGTCCATGTGGATCACCAAGGAAGAGTACGACGAGTCTGGCCCCGGCATTGTCCACCGCAAGTGCTTCTAAGCAGTCACTATCATCTCTTGTTAATCTTGATATCTTAATCATGGCAGTTGTTAGATTTGAAATAGGCGTGAATGTATCCGCTTCTAAGATCTTTTTAGCGGTGCTACTAAACCTAGAAATGGAATGGTGAGCAGCTTACATCAACACGTTTCAGTATTGCAGAAAGTCTGCTCATTATGTTTTTCACTATTAGTGGTGATGCCTTAGCAATATTGATATTTTATTAAAGTGACTTTATCAAGCCTACTTTTTCGTTTCCTAGTCTTGTGCTCCTGATTAAGAAATAGAATTGATTGCCGAGTTGAGAATGAAACTTGCAGTAGGATAGCATTTCTATGGAGATTGATGCAATTTCTGTTACGATTCGTGATGCGCACACTTAGTCTTTATTGTAACTCGTCAAAACCTTCGAACTAAGTTACAGTTCCAGAGCTTAATATCTCAGAATAGGGAGAAGAAATAAAGAACCTTTTTATACATATTCTATTCATTGAAACCTCGTTTCAATTGGTACTTCTGAATTGAAAATTCAAAAATTAAGAGAAAGCAACTGAACTAGCACCATCAATTTTGTTAGAATCTAACCGAGGAAAAGAACGACGATCGGGTTGGATACGAATGTAAAATGCTATTTAATTAATCCAAACTTTTTTCCAAATATGGAAAAACCGCAAAGATAATTTCCTTTACAGTTGAAGATTTTGACTTAAACCTTAAAGCTTTATGATCGTAGAAAGAATTTTCTAAAGACAGTTTGCTTTAAAAAATTTTAATGATGCATCGTACCCGTGCATTAAAAATGAAGGATTAATAGCATCATAAGATTCATCTTACGCGATATTTGACACGCAGAAATGCTGATCAAAATTGGTGCGCTCGAAAAGGATACAAACTTGCACTATTATATGAAATGATTTGCCTTCCTTAAGCAGTAATATTTTCGCAGCCATTACGAATTGAAATTCAATTGTTAACCTTAATAAGCTACAAGAGACTATAGGTTGTACCTGGGTTTCCAATATCCGAGTTAGCACTGTCGACTGAATCTTGCAAATGACTTCTGATTGAAATCAAAAAACAAGATTGAATACAATAAATAAATATCATTCACCCTTGCCTGAATGATTATTTTTATATTAATTACGATAAAATTTAGTGGCAGTTAAGATTAAACTAAGCGAACTAAGATAGTGGGAGGGCTGTTAATTAAAGTTGTCCCGTAGGATTTTATGTAGCGGTGGTATCAGCAGAGATTTGAATGATCGAGTTGTCCTCAACGAAACCTAAGTTTCTGTTACTCCGGTTGTTCCTGCATGATGGCCGCGGTATCTCGCGCAATGATCAGGATCAAGGCAAAAAATACCCAGCACTTTTTATTCATTTTCTGAAAGACTTTGCTAACATTGACGCTGATTCGTTCGAGACCCTCAAGACGGAAATACAAAGCATTGAGGTTTAGGTTACTAGCCATTTATGAGGGTCAATTTTATTTAATAGGCAATCCTGAAATGGGGAACAAATTATTTGAAAATTGATGTAAAAACCAAGAAAAATAGATTAGAAATATTTCACAACTAATTTTTCTCAAATCAAGATGACAGAGATCACTTTTCTACGATTAGCAATGTAATTTTTGCCATTAAGTGTACATTTAGGGAAATTTGGGACACTCCGTACATTGTTGTGCTCTCACCCATACTATTCAATATCGTCGATGTTTTATTACCAGTTATTGAAAGTTTCTAAAGCAATAAAGGCTTTATTTTGCTATATTAATAAAAAATGGCGCCGGACAAAAATCGAAGCGATATTTATGTCTAAATGTATTAATGTATTGAAAACGACACATACAACGAAAAAATATGATCATCCACTGAAAAACAACCCGCGTTCCTCATTGCGAAAGGAAATAAATCGATGAAAGCTCAGTCAAAGATTTTTTGGAAGAATGTTTGCATTTTGATGGCATTTCCCCAAGAGCTTCTCGAACGATGGCTCCAATACAATGCAGAATACACGACCTAAGTAGCTAAATCTCATCGTAATCACGGCGGATGCCAGGGTATTTCCCGCGCGACAAAGACTGCCATTAAAAATAACTGCCCGCAAAGTGGCCGAGTGTAGCGCGCTGTTCAAATGCCGTCCCGGAGCGGAGGCGGGAGAGAGGAGAGGTGCAAGTTCCCGAAAAAAGTCAAACTCTTTGCGCGCGATGAAAAAAAATCTTTTTAACGCTTAGACTCAAAAGAAGATAACGATGATGTAATTCAACGTGCAATGTAAAAAAATTCTTAAAAAGTACGTAGACATAAACAGAGATAATGATAGTGTAAAATTCTGCGGCCGATGAACTGTAATGCTTGTTGACAAAAAATGCGAATGGAGGAAACGGTGGTGTAATTCGTGACATTTATAACGATTGTAGCTAGCTGGTTAGATTAGGACAGATGGTCACAGACCACGGGAAGAGATCTAATGTTAATATTCTAGATTAATCAAGATAAATTTTTCACAAGTCCTGATAAAAAATGTAAATTTTATTGCATTTGATACTAAGGTCAAGAACAAAAAATTAACTTAAATTTAAAGAAAAATAGGATGCAATCCTAATATAGGTCTAATTTATTTGTCGATAAAAATTTTGGTCGAATTGCAGCCAAATAAACCTACTTTAATTACGTGGCTGTACAAAACTAGAGATGACCCTGTTTATATCAAAGTATGCACATATTTTGTTCTAAGTATCGAGTTTTTCAGACTCACACTTTTATGATAGTTATGTATTGTCTTTCATTTTCATGAATAAAATTATTTTCAATAAGATAACATCTAAAATATTGAAACCGTACCTGCAAGTTGATTTCAAACTAGGAAAGCACGCTAGATGAATCGAATACAAATCGTAAGTTTCAACAAGTTTCTATCGAAAATCTACACAAATATTGATACTTATCACTAACTTGTTGCGAAGTGTTCAATAAAAGAAAAAAAAACTCATTACGTTTCCACAAGAGAGGCGTTTATTCGACGAATATCACGTCCACCTGTTTGGTCTCGAAATAGATTGCCAGGCATTCGCTTTGGCATCTTCAAGGTACCATTTAAGGTCAGGGAAGAACCGCATTACAGAAGAACCTCAAATCGCCCTCGCTCGCTTCCGATTGGTCGAAGACTCGCGCGCTACTCAGCCTCGGGGGTGCAGTATATAAGATACGAGGTCTTCAACTAAGGTTTAGTCTTCAGGCTCAAGAGAACCGGTGTAGTGCAAGGTACGGCGTCATTGTTTTAACACTATTACTCACTAAATGATGAAATGTTCGTGATTGCAATATTATGCGTTATATGTTTTCGATGAAATCCAAAAAATTTCAAATAATATCGATTATTTGAACAATGATTTGGATCTTTAAGTTGTATCTGCTGCGGTAAAATGAACAAACACAATTTATTTTCCAATTATATTTTTAATTAATTGAAAATCAAAAATTAAAAGTTTTGCCATGCAATCTAGCACGATTTTTGTTTTTGAATTAAAAGGGCGAAAGGCTTGATATGTTACAAATTCATTAAAAAGTCATAACCAATCAATTACGTTAATTTGAATTCGTTTTACTTACGGATCCTACGATTCAACTTTCTTCTAACTTCCCCCCTAAATGAATGAAGAAGTAGAGCGATCACTTTGGAGTGCAATCTCAGTGAGGCTTTTCCTTGTAAAAAGTTTTTTTTTTTGCAAATCTAATCAGATCGACCACCTGAGATTTGAAGATGGCTTGGACTTTTTTACTTCATGCCATTTGATAGCTCACGTTGCAAATCAACCAAGCATATAAAATCGAGATAATGGAGTAAATGCAGCACAATTACCAGCTCATAACTCCATCAGTTTAACTTATTACACTCGAATTTCTATGAGTTCAACTGCGTATGAAATAGGTCCCAGATAATCTGAAAAAATATAACTCAGTACTCACTTCAGTGAGTGACAGAGAGCGCATTTTCTCGTCGACGAAAACTTGAGGTCACGGACAGACGGACGGACAAACGGATAGACAGACAGACATAAACAGACGGACATGGCGAGCACAATAGTGCATTTTTTCCATAAATGAGAAAATGCGCTAAAAAGCATGCTGAACATTTGTGGCAGCTTGCTGCCCTGTAGATCCAGGTTTCGCGTTGGTCAAGCCGCGAATACAACGTCGTTCGGATTCGAAGTATAGACCTGTAGTGGAGGGGAAAGGAAAAACGATTGTATAATTTAGATCGACTAAATTTACGCGGTATTATAAAACTTCATTGTTCACGACTTTTGTAGAAAAATAACATGGAAAGTATATCATCATGGGAACAGAACTCCAATTGTTTACCCAATTTAACTTACAGTAAGCAGAAGATGAGAAAGAGGTTTAGAAGTAATGATAACTCAAGTAGCTCAAGAAAAAACGTAAAGTACGGCAATTATTGAAACGATTTTTAAATTTATGAGATTGTGAGTAAATGAAAGCAAAAATTTTCCTACACTGTGCATACCCGTGAGATCGACATACCTGTTTCAGTATTCCATTGAGCTACTTCAAAGTCAACTTATATTCTATTGTTTATAGAGATAGGAAGAAAAAAAATAAGATCCACGAAACATGATCACTTCGAGCATTTCTAATTCGTGGCACTCTGCGACGCTGAAATAATTTATACCTCTCATTCTTCGACAGATCTTGCTCCATCTAAACCGCAAAAATGTGCGACGACGACGCTTCCCCTCTTGTGGTTGACAACGGCTCCGGCATGGTCAAGGCCGGTTTCGCCGGTGATGACGCTCCCCGAGCTGTGTTCCCCTCCATCGTCGGCCGCCCCCGTCACCAGGGTGTCATGGTCGGCATGGGTCAGAAGGATGCCTACGTCGGTGACGAGGCACACCTAGCATCATGATATTATTTTTTATAATAAATTTTAAAATTTTTGCCTGTCTTTTCATCGACACTTATAAAAAAAACCTCCGCTGCATCAGGATATAAGGCCGATGTCCTCCAAAGGCAATACCTAGTGCTGCATCAATTAGTTGAAACGAATCAACAACTAAGTCATGAAATTCCCAAATTCAGTTCATCCGATTAATAAATTTGCTAATTCATCTCGTGGTCTTTCATTCGATGGTAGTCCTGTAGGTATAAATGGTATCACGCTTGTGCCGTTTTACAGATAGTGAAGTGAACATTCACGGATATGTACGCAGAAGCATCAGTCGGTGCTTAAAATTTGAACTGCTCTATAATCGGGAGCAACTAGCATGTTTGTGGATGAGCGGGAACTTTGAAACCAGCTTGACAGCTCATCGGTGATTGGCTGAAGGCAATAATATCTATTAAACGGGCTAAGAATATTTGTTCACGTATTGTTTTTTCCGCAATCAAATTGTTTAAAAAATATTTTGGGCACGACTCAACAAAGTTATACTTCGTAATTACATGCCGTTTTCTTTAAGGAGGGAAGTGAGTGTAATGTTTTCTGTCGTGGCGGTTTTCTGTAATGCGGGTATAAATAGAAACGAGACGCGACGGCAGCACCGGCCGTTTGTAATAATCACGTGACGACGCAACTAATTTCTTTATGGGGAAAAATTACAGCGCCGAATAGTGGTGGTGAAGTAGAGTCTCAAGGTTCGTCATGGCTGTTTGATACGTGAGAACAGAGTTGGACATGCATTTTTGCCGGTAAATATGTAGCGTATGAGTTTTAGATTCTGAAATAATTAAACAGAAATATTTAGAATTAGATTTGAAGGCAAAAAAAATAGATTTATGTCTGAAAGTTATCGTCACCACCTCGAACACAACAATAGTTGACTTCTTTCCAACTTCTAGTATTGCACCGGGACCTCTTATTAGTGAAATACTCGAGTATAGGAATTGCTATTCTGTATTAATTGCTTATATTTCATAGTTAAATTACTTGGAATATTTTTAATTGTATTCTTTGCATTTATAAATTGTAACGATCTGTTTGTTATTCAGGGTTAAGTAATGAGATTGAAGAAATTGTAAAATGCGTCTTCTTTCCCTAAATAAAGTTGTTATCCTGGAAATAAACGAAAGACGCTTTTAATAAAATCAATTAACCTTGCAAGATAGTATGAAAAATCAGCAAAAGCCTTTTGTAGTGTACGAAAAATCTCATGAGTTTTGGTTGAAATATATTTCATTCGTTGGTTGTGAACTGAAATTAATCCAGTGGGTTCCCAAGTAACTATATAATGACGATGTAATTTGAATTTCTAATCGTTCTAATCTAAGCACTTAATTTTTCCTTTCATCGGTCTCGCCCGACATCTGACAAACAAGAACGTAATAACTTGTCAGCTCGTAACTGCCGTTTGACAAACTGCCCATCAACGACAATTTGTCAGTCGTTTGGCCGTCCTCCGCGCTGCTGCCTGTCAAACGTCATTGAAACAAAAGTCGCGAGTCTCGTTGAATGACGCGGGTGAACCTGAACTTGAAAGTCTCAATTATTTAACGAGGATGATGGCTTCGAAGACTTTGATGTGTGCTAATTAAATATGGTTACAGATATTTTACTGTCGTTAAAACATTATTGCGTTTTTGCGCTTATGCATTACCCTATATTACGTATGAATTGACAACCAATACAATTATAGGCTCAGCATAACATCTGAATGCAAAGTTCAGCAAACAAGTTTGTTCGTAACTCTGCGTAGGCGTCGTAATTTCGTGATAATTTATTTTGAATTAGTACCTACAATATATATGATAGGTTATTGATACACAGACCTTGAAGGCGAATGAACACGTGACTTTATTTAGCCATTTTATTCGTGCTCAAAAACTCGTCAAGCTGCCAATACTCGTGAAAATGCTCGGTATTTGATCTAATGCCAGAAGCAGAGCTTAATACTGATATTAACTTAATTTATAATATCCTTTATTAATATTATTTGGAGCATCACGGCGCTCCTCTAAGAGTAGCACGTACTTTATGACCCAGAAAGTTGACGCTATTAAAGCTGGTCATAAATTCAACAGCTTGTCTCGTAATGTCAAAAATTTTCAGAGGACAATTTTTCACTAAATAAAAATCCGTTGCAGTTATAATGAAATAAAGCATTGAGGAAAACCTAAATGAGCGCAATTGCAGTAAAAGAAGAAGAATTGAGTTGTTATTTTAGTTTTATCTTCATTGACAATAAACATGTGTTAAAATAATTTGTTGGTTCTTCCTTCTGAATATTAATAACTTTAATTAATAACTTTGACTGTGCTGAAATCATACTTTATACTTCGTATGGCGGTAAAAGGAGCCAGGGAAGTTATGTGATGGCAGTGTCGTAAAAATTATGAAGATGTTGATATTTGTCTTACGTTTCAACGGCTGTCAATATTTCGATGTTAACGTCGATTATTTAGTGGCTTAGGATGATCAAGATTCTGTTTTCCTAAAATAACCGATGTGAATTCATAACGTTCAGCCTCTAGCGGTATTTCCTATGGTGGCTTATGCAATGTGCCTTACGTAAGTCTTGCTGAAGATGTTTTGTTGTGCACGTGATATTCAGCGTGAGTTGCGTGTCGGGTCATGTATTAAATTGTGTTCACGTGTTATGCGGCTTGTGGTGCGTGTTGCCACATGTTCCGTATTAAGTCTTGTTCACGTGTTATGCAGCGTATGGTGCGTAGTGCCGCACGTCCCGTATTAAGTCGTGTTCACGTGTTACGCAGCGTGTGCTGCGTGGTGGCCCCACGTCCCGTATTAAGTCTTGTTCACGTGTTACGCAGCGTGTGCTGCGAGGTGGCCCCACGTCCCGTATTAAGTCTTGTTCACGTGTTATGCAGCGTGTGATGCGTGGTGGCCTCACGTCCCGTATTAAGTCGTGTTCACGTGTTACGCAGCGTGTGCTGCGTGGTGGCCCCACGTCCCGTATTAAGTCGTGTTCACGTGTTATGCAGCGTGTGATGCATGGTGGCCCCACGTCCCGTATTAATATTAAGTCGTGTTCACGTGTTATGCAGCGTGTGCTGCGTGGTGGCCCCACGTCCCGTATTAAGTCGTGTTCACGTGTTATGCAGCGTGTGATGCGTGGTGGCCCCACGTCCCGTATTAAGTCGTGTTCGTGCATTGGCACGAATGTTGAGTCTCTACCTTCTGCGCTTGTTCTGCTCGATGCTTCCAACGAGACCTCGACATTCTTGCTCGATACGACGAGCCAACACCTTTGATATCAAATAGAAAACTTGTAAGAGTGCAATGGCAATAAGGAGAATCAGAGACTAAAATATTCCTGAATGAATTTAGAATCACATTTTGTGAGGAAATTTTAATACTGGGTGTTGTGATTTTGACTTTTAAAAATACAATTTTTAGCTAACGGCGAAGGAAAACGTTCATTTGTCTTGACACATTGTATTACATCAGTACCGTTTCCTACTGTAGAACATAATCACCACCATCCGTTTTCAAACTTATACGAATTCGCTGTCCAAAGTTGAGGTACGAAGCAGCATGACGTTAACCCTGGAACCTGATGATAAACTGTTTGCTTGCTTGTAAATTCGAATTCCAGAGATGAATGTTATAATGTATCTGTGGCCGTAGCCTTTAAATTTCTGCACGCTATTGGTAACGTGAAGCCGAAAGGCAGCACCCACGCAGACGCGATACAAGCTTAGCAAGGTTAGGTAGTCTTGCAAGGTTAGGTTTACTTGCTGTATATAAGGCAGATCGCGTACAGCGCCAGCGCCAGTCGTGTTGCCGGCTAACTTCTCCACGCAAGAAGCTTTGTATCAACGCAGCTCAGGTGAGATCTACTGCAAGATTAATGTGTGAACACGTCAATTAAACAATAAGTGATAATGTTTATCAATTGTGACAATGATAGTGTGATATTGAGTTATTTTGTGGGGGTCAGTGATTTTCTTCCCTGTAGCTCTTGAAGCAGGAGATGTGTACTGGTAAAACACATTCTAATTGAAAAACTTAGCTTCGGGTGATGTTCACTAAGGTGACGTTATTCTTCACGCATGGGGCATCATCAGACAACGAGTTACCTTTTCATGTGTTAACTTTAAAATCCAATTCAACATATTCCGAAACCCCGGGATTTATCATATCATGAATTAACATGCCATTATTATTTTTCAATAGTTTGAAAATCACATCGGCCCCATTCCATTTGGATGAAATATTTTATTCATCTTTGATAATTGCAATATAATTGGTTGATTACAAATTATTTATTCATTGGAAGACGAACACCTTCTCATCAATCTCACTCGCAATTGCTCTTTTCCGCAGTTAAATCGCTGTCATGTGTGACGACGAAACTACTCCCCTAGTCGTAGACAATGGGTCGGGCATGGTCAAGGCTGGATTTGCTGGAGACGATGCCCCACGTTCCGTGTACCCTTCTGTCGTCGGCCGCCCCCGTCACCAGGGTGTCATGGTCGGCATGGGTCAGAAGGACGCCTACGTTGGTGACGAGGCCCAGAGCAAGCGAGGTATCCTTACTCTGAAGTACCCCATCGAGCACGGTATCATCACCAACTGGGATGACATGGAGAAGATCTGGCATCACACCTTCTACAATGAGCTCCGTGTTGCCCCTGAGGAATCCCCTACTCTCCTTACGGAAGCTCCTCTCAACCCCAAGGCTAACAGAGAGAAGATGACACAAATCATGTTCGAAACTTTTGGGTGTCCTGCTACTTACGTCGCCATTCAGGCGGTGCTTTCCCTCTATGCTTCCGGTCGCACCACCGGAATTGTTCTTGACATTGGCGATGGTGTGGCCCACAGTGTTCCTATTTACGAAGGGTTCGCCATCAAGCATGCTATAGGTCGTCTCGATCTCGCTGGCCGAGACCTAACTAATTATCTTATGAAAATCCTCACGGAGCGCGGATACTCGTTCACCACAACCGCTGAAAGGGAGATCGTGCGAGACATCAAAGAAAAACTTTGCTACGTCGCGCTTGAGTTTGAAGAGGAACTTAGGCAAGCAGGAGCAAGTTCTGGCTTAGAAAAGTCCTACGAACTTCCTGATGGTCAAGTGATCACCATAGCTAATGAAAGATTCCGTTGCCCAGAAACCTTGTTTCAACCTTCTTTCATTGGCATGGAATCAGTTGGTATCCACGAATTCACCTATAACAACATTATGAAATGCGACATCGACATCCGCAAGGACCTTTACGCGAACATCGTCATGTCGGGTGGCACTACCATGTATCCCGGCATTGGTGATAGAATGCAAAAGGAGATCACTAGTCTGGCTCCTGGAACCATCAAGATCAAAATCATTGCTCCTCCTGAACGTAAATACTCTGTCTGGATTGGCGGTTCGATTTTGGGATCGCTGTCCACCTTCCAGTCCATGTGGATCACAAAAGACGAGTATGATGAGGCAGGACCTGCCATTGTGCATAGAAAGTGTTTCTAAACATACGGGTTTTCAGACTACGCACACTATAGGTTTTCGTTTCTTTCATTTGATTTATTTAATATTCTAGTTGACTCTCATGCCATGATTGTACAACCTCTTTTACTTACTTTTATTTACATGCGCGTCGAAAAGTTATTTTATCTTTATGTAACTAGTTATGTGATGTTTATTGTGTAATGTTCGTTCAGAAACTTTTGGGAGCGCTCCCTAATTTCCCATCTTTGTTCTCACATGATCAAATAAATTATTTTATAACATGGTATTTATTTTCCCAGTTTAATAAATAAGTTTTATTATAGATGGCATATTATAGATGTTTTTCCCACACTTTTCTATTGTGGTTGCGTCATGCTTGACTTCACAGAGCTTTACTCTGTACAGCAAACCTTCAAAGTTCAAAGAGGTATGTTAAAGCGCGCCCAAGGTTGCCGTACGTGGGTTGTCAACAGTCAGAGCTTGGCAAGGACCCACACGCTCAAGTAAATGAGACCTAGAAATGTTGTTGTAACTTCAAGCTTCTTACCGTCACATAACATAGCGCTTGATGGAGATGCGTGCACCCAGAAAAAGACGTGAGCCTTTCACAGAAAAGCGATGCACTTTCTGGCCCTTGTGTGGGTCATCGTGGCCTAGTTTGACCAGGCAAAATAGGAAATCAATGCTACGTTCTCTGGCTGCTCGTGTTGCGGGTCAGAAAGTGTCACTATTTGAACATTATGACTTATTAATTTTTTTGTCTGTGCCCGCAAATTCGCATCATTTAGCACGTATTGATTGTGATGCCATGTTCACTGTGCAGCAATTCAAGTATTGAGATTGCCTTTGTACCAGTATATAAAGACACCAGGGTATGACAAGAAATTAAATTGCATCAACAAACGGGTAAGACATGAAAAAATCAGGGATAACGTTTTTTTTTTGGCAGTTGATCAGCGCGATCACTGTTTGTGCTCCAATACGAAAAAATGTGAATTAAATAATATCCAGCATAACAGCATTAAAATAATCAATATGGATTTTGAACATAATAGTGAAATTTACCAAAGAAAAATTGAAAGTAATTTTTTTCATGAAATGAGTGTACATTGAGTACATTCAATTCACATCGTAGGACGGAAGAATTTCAAAGCAAAGAACTGCAAATCTAAAGAATACATGTTCGACCTATCGAGAATTGGTGATATATAGAATTCTTTAGTTTTTTGAACTGATGATAGAGTTGGTCTCGAAAATCTTTTCAATGAAGAAATGTGAATTTATAAGCAGTTTTATTTTGCTTTTAAATGAATGACGGACCTAAGAATTTAGCAAAATAATGATTGAAATACTGTATCATAATGTCGTTCAAGCAAAATTTTACGCGAATTGAAAAATGAAGAAAACAGTATGTTTGAAGTGAGCAATACACAAATACAAAATATACAAAATATTTACTGAAAATTAGTAAGAAAAAAATAGAACAAAGCCCCTGAAATTGGATAGAAGGTTGTGAAGCTTTTCGGTGTTTTACCTCTTTTATTGAGACCAAATTTTTCAGTTTCCTCCCGAAACGTTAGTTACGCATACCCTATGTACGATCAAATGGCGCGCTGTTTACAACAAATGATGCCAAATGTGCGAACAGATGTTGCGCTATTTACAGCAATGTTCGTAAATTGAACGAAACTGAATGAAATGAAAACCAAATGCACGATCGCATGGTGCGCTATTAACTATAAATGATGCCATATGTACGATCGTATGTTGCGCAATTAACAATAAATAATATCAAATGTACGACGGATGGTGCGCTATTAACAATAAATGATGCCATATGTACGATCGTATGGTGCGCAATTAACAACAAATGTTACCTTATGTACGATCAAATGGTTCGCTATTAACAATAAATAATACCAAATGTACGACGGATGGTGCGCTATTAACATAAAAATAATACCATATTTTTTCGATTGTATGGTACGGAATTTACAACAAATGATACCATATGTACGATCGGATGGTGCGAATTAACAATAAATGATACCACATGTCCGATCAAATTGCGCGCTATTTACAATAAATGATACCATGTGTGCGATCAAATTGAGTCCACATCAGCTGAAGCCACTAATCCCATCGACGAGCTCATGTCGCTGCACCTCAAGCTCAGCGACACCTGCCCTACCGCCACCTGTTCTAGATCAACAGATATTGTTTTTCTCACAAAAAATACGCTCAATATCACTCAATTTTTGCCCAAACTGCTCATTAGGTACTATTGAATCGGTAAAGTATTATTATTATCATTATTGAATTTGTGAAAACCTGACGCAGTGCCAAGGTGAATGAGTTTTTCTTAGTGATTCTTGCCTACTAAATGCAGGTATGTCAGTTTATCAGAAGCTTTAATGAACATGCTGAATATTTTTTCTCTATTTCTGAACGTGATTAAGAATTGAGTCGTTAACATTTTTTTCATCAACTGCATGACTTTACCTTTTTTAAAAACAAAATTAGAGATATGTAATACACGAATATTCGTGAATACGATTCCCTCATTGGGGGCCGATTGAAAAATAATAAAATCTATAATACCAGCAGATTATATTTAATGAAACATGTAATTACAGCGGATTAAACTTAAATTATAATCAAGATTTTGTAGTAATTTTAACGGATTGTTTGACTCTTTCTCTAACTCAGCAGCCGCTCAGCTGTGCTCTTCGCGGCAGTTTGTGACTTGCTTTAAACGGAATGGCGGGACGTAGGCACTTATTGTGCATCCCTCAACATTTGACTTATAATCTGACAAAGATATAACAAGTAATTTGTACTATTAAACGTAAATTCTTTTCAAATTATTAGCGTTTACCGCACAGATGGTTCTCGCAACAAGTGACATGTATTGTTCTTTCCTGAAACTGAAATTACTTTAGTAAAATCCTTGGAAATATGGTATATATCGTGGGGTAACATTTGGAAAATAATTAAAATGGGATGACATTTTTAAAAACCATACTCTATATAGTTATTCCAATATAAGTAAGTGCAAATTAGTCTCTGAGATAGATGCAGAACCGGGCAACTTTTGCTGTTATTGTATTTATTATAAGCTGAAGAATACCAAGCAGGATGAAAACACTGACGAGGTTGAAATCAAATCTGTTCAACTTTGTCGCTTAATTCAAGATCTGAATCCATAGACGTTACTACGAGTCTTCAAGTAATTTAAAAAAAAACGTATTGGTGATTGATTATTATAATTCATCTTATTGATTGATTATTGATACCTATTAAGCCGACAGAAACAACTTCAAAATATTCATTTGTCACTCTATTTCGAGGATTAAATGTGTATTATACTAGCAGAGATGCCCCGTAAATGAAATATTAGGGTTAGTTTCCGTAGATCCGTAGACTTTTTCGTTTCGAGTCGTAGCGATAAGGCAACGAAATTCTTTACGTGAGGATTTAAGATAAGTTTTGAATTAAAATTGAAAAAATATTATAAAAAATTTCTAATGCCAAATTTCTATAATTATGAAGTAATCTAGTATTATTTAAGCGCTTCCAAGTACATGACATCCCTGAATAACACCAAGTTAGCTTACAATATTGAAATCTATCCAGTGACGTAGTAGCTGGACAATTATTATCAAGTTGACAATTAGCGCATCAATTTGGGATTTATAGATTCAAAATATGATTATTACTTTTCATTAACTCATCATTTACTATTTGTTTACGCAGGGTACGATACGCAATACGATGCCCAGACACATTGCCTTAGTTCGTTGCAAGCGCCATACATCATCACATTAAATGCATCACCGATTCAGCCCAAGAAGACCCCACATGATGCAGCGCTCACATAGCACCACGTACAAGGCATCACATGCAACATTAAACATGATTTATTGCGGGCAAAAACTCTACCTGCGAAGCACCACACATGACGCATCGCAATAGAAGTTGTGGATCTGATATATCACATAAAAAAATTGTTCGGACGCGGCATCACGAATGGAGCATCGTATCGTCAGAAGAAGGCCGATGAAAATCTAAAGATGAGGCATAACCCATGAAACAACTCATGATGATACACCTAGTCTGAAGTATTAAATTATACATCACACCTAACGCAGTGTCACTGATGTACAAGATGTCTCACCACATCATGAAGCGACACCCATGAAGCACCATATTTGGCGTGGTATATGGAGCATCATCAGACAAGGCATCCCAGGTCAAGAAAAACGGAGGAGGAATGCTGGGTATAGCAGACGTATCAGAAGTTAAGAGCAAATGTTTACCTTAGGCCGAGCCCTTTGTTTAGGTTTCGACTCGCCTGCCATCTCTGGTACTTGTAAATATTTGGCTCACTGTAGTTAGGATCAAACTTCCTTTCTTTTCTGTCGCGCGTTGAAAATGATGGTCGCTTGGCAGCTGCCATTGTCATCTAACAATGCAAAGTTCAATTCGGCGACTAAATCTTCAAGCGATTAGCATCCTAGACAAGGTATTGCTAAATGGGTTTTGTACTGCATGGTGTTCATGTTGATCAATGCTTGTAGGTTTACCGACGTTGATTCTTCCTGATAGCGCAATATCGGCGTGACTCTCAGGAGTGAACGCCCTCAGTTTACTGTGACCAGTATGCCATAAAGCTAGAATTGGGGAGCGGGCGCTTCAAACAAACACAGGATTGCGGCTATAAGAGGAGTTCGAGCGAGCACGACTCCCCAGTCTCTCGCAGGTTCAGGGTTCGTGAGTTCATACACGGTTAGTGGTTCATCAAGTCATATGTAGTAGGATATATGTATTCTGCGTGACATAACTCTATGATCGTATATTCAAGTTGCGTGTAAATCAGTGACAGATTTTTACGAGATGAAGATTAGTTAGAAGTTTGTAGTGAATACTAACCATTTTCACCGGCTGTGACTTTAGTTTCGCAATGAGTCATCTTCGATCATAACAATTTAAGATAACTTCACACATCATCAGAAACCTATTGAGTTTATTTTTTATTAAAAACATGGTTTCGATGGTTAATTTGGGTTTGAATCTAATGAGATGACCAAGCAGCAGAGAACTGTCGTGAATAATTCGTGCATACAAAAAAAGAGTAATAATAAAAATAAACAAAGAAATAAAAAAACGGTGATTAAGGCGTACTAGTGCATTCAAGCGAATCCTAGTGAAAATTTGATAAAATTATTGAGTTTTACCTATACATCATAATCCCACATTTCCCTCTTCCTCGTCCTTTAATAATATCGATAAGCCATAGAAGTAATCTGAGACTTGAAACTAACCATTGAAGACTTGAACTATTCAGATGGTACAACATTTTCATTTTTGTGGGGTTCGTTTTAATAGTGTTTTTTATTAAACCAAGTTCTTCAGTAAACAAATTTCAAGGTAGAAGATTACTCAACTGAAAACAATGAAAAGATCTGTCTCATGGATAAAAAATACGTATTGAACATTTTTTTGATAACTATATTGAAGTTTGAAGGCTGCCGAATATTTATGTGAATAATTTTTTTACGAATTAACCTCAACCATAATCTATAACATTTCTTTGCCAGGATATAGCTGACCAAAAATGGCTGACGAAGAGGCTTCTGCTCTTGTGGTTGACAACGGCTCCGGCATGGTCAAGGCCGGTTTCGCCGGTGATGACGCTCCCCGAGCTGTGTTCCCCTCCATCGTCGGCATTGCCCCCGAGGAGTCCCCTGTCCTCCTGACTGAGGCTCCCCTCAACCCCAAGGCTAACCGTGAGAAGATGACCCAGATCATGTTCGAGACCTTCAGCACCCCCGCCATGTACGTCGCCATCCAAGCCGTGCTCTCCCTGTACGCCTCTGGCCGTACCACCGGTATCGTGCTTGACTCCGGTGATGGTGTCACTCACACTGTCCCCATCTATGAAGGTTATGCTCTTCCCCACGCCATCCTCCGTCTGGACTTGGCTGGTCGTGATCTTACCGCCTACCTCATGAAAATTTTGACCGAGCGCGGTTACTCCTTCACCACTACCGCGGAGCGAGAAATCGTTCGCGACATCAAGGAAAAACTTTGCTACGTCGCCCTTGATTTCGAATCTGAGATGAGCATTGCTGCGGCTTCGTCTTCCCTCGAAAAGTCATATGAACTTCCTGACGGTCAGGTCATTACTATCGGCAATGAACGCTTCCGTTGTCCCGAATCACTTTTCCAGCCTTCCTTCTTGGGTATGGAATCCGTTGGTATCCACGAGACTGTCTTCAACTCTATCATGAGGTGCGACATTGATATCCGTAAGGACTTGTACGCCAACAATGTTCTCTCCGGTGGTACTACCATGTACCCTGGTATTGCTGACCGCATGCAGAAAGAGATCACAACTCTTGCTCCCTCCACCATCAAGATCAAAATCATTGCTCCCCCTGAGCGCAAGTACTCCGTATGGATCGGTGGCTCTATTTTGGCCTCCCTCTCCACCTTCCAGCAGATGTGGATTACCAAAGAAGAATATGACGAATCAGGCCCTGGTATCGTTCATCGCAAGTGCTTCTAATTGTAGTTTTCTGGTTCCTACGTTCACGTTTTAATTTTGTGTCTGTTTCATTTACTAAGCTTTTCATGCCCCTGAGATATTTTAATTTAAATATCATTTTTACAAAGACTTGTTGGTTTCTAGTATCATTCTGTTATTAACATTTTTCCCGAATAAAACATTTCCTCACATATGCGAAAAACCTGTTTCTTCTATCCCTCATATGAAATTATTTACTACATTCATGTCACAGATCACGAAGTTCAAACTGAATCTCTGAGTTGAAATGAACGTTAAAGTTTGATTAGCATCGGATGGGCTAGTTAAGCCAATTGAGATCAACCCTGTGCTATAAAAAAGTTAAATACCTTTTGAACTTTTGTATTAGAACGCGGATTGATGTACAAAACCTAATATTAATTTGTTCATTCAATTCATACCACGGAAGGTGCATGAACTTAAAGCTCCAGTAGCGGCAGTGGAATTCATTAATTTAACTGAAAATATAACGGAAATATCAAAATGAGAATGAATTCAAATTGTCACTTGTTAAATACATTGTTTCTGTATTTGCAAGTGTATAGGAAATAAGGCCAATCGATCGCCTTCTCAGGAAAACATTTTTTCATCTTACTAAATTAAATGAAGAAATCGGTTGACAATAAATTTCTAACCGTCTGCTCTAGATCCTGGAAGGTTCATAATTTTTCAGAAATGATCAAAGATTGCAACTTTAACTTAACTGATGGAGAGCAAGGTTGGTGTATCCAGCAATTAATACGAATCACATATAGATGCTGAATTAATTTGCTTTTTGGTAAATTGGCCCATTAGCAGCACAACCATTGAATTGTAAAGGCTGCGTGAAGACATTACCATCTACCACGTGTCTGACGTTGAATTTATGTAGATTAAACGTTCTTTAAGCTCGTAATCAACGGTCTGTCAGCGTCATTTGTCAGGAGGGATAGGAATTCAGGAGTTCGGATTGTCTTTATACTTTAATTTTGCCGCTCGCTATGTATTCTAATAAAATATATAGGACTGACAAAAGTACATATTAATGGCAATTTCGGATAGGTGGATCATTGTATACCTCCACATCGTAAAGTCTAATTTATAAGTAAGACATTTAATATTTAGCAGAAAAACTATACAAAATTAACAAAATCAGTCAATTCTGATCCTCGGACTCATTTCAGATAAAAATTTAATCACTTCATCCTAAAAAATTTAGGTTGGTATTGAATTTTTAAAGTTGAGATCAGTCGAGTTGAGTACGTGTGTAGTGGTAAGTAACTGATGTAAATTTCATTGTCCTAAATTACAAACATTTAATATTTGAATTAATTAGCATTTTTTATTAATTTTTGACGGATTTGACATAGATGCAAAGTATCAACGAAATTTTTCCACGCCATTTGTACTCTTGCATTATTTCGACGTTAGTGGGGCAAACAATTTTTCTCTTGTCGGCAGTATTAAATCGATTACGACATAAAAAACGCTTGTTGAAGCTAATGAGTAGTGAAGCGCAAGTTGATCACCAATTAGTTGGGGGAGGAAAACTCACTGTATATATAAATTTATTTTATTGATATGTCGTTGACATAATAATGAAGTTAAGGAGCACTAGAACATGAATAACAAAGCAACAAATAACTTGTCTAGAAGCACTTGCGGTGGACAATGCCGGGGCCAGACTCGTCGTACTCTTCCTTGGTGATCCACATGGCCTGGAAGGTGGAGAGGGAGGCCAAGATGGAGCCACCGATCCATACGGAGTACTTGCGCTCAGGGGGAGCAATGATCTTGATCTTGATGGTGGAGGGAGCGAGGGATGTGATTTCCTTCTGCATGCGGTCAGCAATACCAGGGTACATTGAGGTACCACCAGACAACACGTTGTTTGCGTATAAGTCCTTACGGATATCAATGTCGCACCTCATGATGGAGTTGAAGACAGTCTCATGGATGCCAACGGATTCCATACCCAAGAAGGAAGGCTGGAAAAGAGACTCAGGTGCACGGAAACGTTCGTTGCCGATGGTGATGACCTGACCGTCGGGAAGTTCGTAGGACTTCTCCAAAGAAGAAGAGGCAGCAGCGGCCGCCATTTCATTTTCAAAGTCAAGGGCCACGTAGCAAAGCTTCTCCTTGATATCGCGAACGATTTCTCGCTCAGCGGTGGTGGTGAATGAGTAGCCACGCTCAGTCATGATCTTCATGAGGTAGGCGGTAAGATCGCGACCAGCCAAATCGAGACGAAGGATGGCGTGGGGAAGAGCATAACCTTCATAGATGGGGACAGTGTGAGTGACACCATCTCCAGTGTCGAGAACAATGCCGGTGGTACGGCCAGAGGCGTACAGGGAGAGCACGGCAGGGGTGCTGAAGGTCTCGAACATGATCTGGGTCATCTTCTCACGGTTAGCCTTGGGGTTGAGGGGAGCCTCAGTCAGGAGGACAGGGGACTCCTCGGGGGCAACACGGAGCTCATTGTAGAAGGTGTGGTGCCAGATCTTCTCCATGTCATCCCAGTTGGTGATGATACCGTGCTCGATGGGGTACTTCAGAGTAAGGATACCTCGCTTGCTCTGGGCCTCGTCACCGACGTAGGCATCCTTCTGACCCATGCCGACCATGACACCCTGGTGACGGGGGCGGCCGACGATGGAGGGGAACACAGCTCGGGGAGCGTCATCACCGGCGAAACCGGCCTTAACCATGCCGGAGCCATTGTCGCAGACAAGAGCGGAGGCTTCGTCGTCGCACATGTTTACTTTAGTTTAGAAGTCTGGTGAGGCAGCTGCGTTGAGGACTCTGCCAACATAAAGAGAACTTTTGTCACGACGCGTGTTTATAAGTAAAGATTGTTACACGGACTTCTCTTACTAAGTATCTGAAGTGAAATGCACTCATTGAATAAAGGTTTTGATAAATTTTGTTCACATTTATTTGTGAACGGACGATAGGGTCTTTTTATTTACGTTAGCAGTAGTTTATAAGAGCATTTACTCATAAAGTTATTGAAGTTTAATGTTTACTTAGGCATTTGTAAATGACGTTCACAAAAACTGGATGAAGTTTGGTGAACAGTGCGACAATGGACAACAATAAATTATTATCAACAATATCGAGAACCATTCAGTATGCGGAGCAAAATATTTTCACTCCTGCCTATATATACCAAATGCATGGGATTAGTACGAGTGGATTTCAACTTAATGGTAATGGTAATGAAGTTATTATTCCGGTTCTTGGATTTTTTCGCAACTTCATCTCTTTTGTATATGAACGGATTGCTGAGAAGGTTTTCATTGCAAAATTAATAAAAAAATATACGTTTAAAAATTATTTTCTAAAGAAAACACTTTTAAAGAATCAATTGTCTCCAATGTTAAAGATGTTCAATGAAATTCTCATTTTATTTTCGAATATTAATAAAATTAATTTTTCAGTTTTTTAATATATAATATTTTTTTTTCAAAATTATTTATTCTGTCAATTGATTCATACATTGCCTCCGACTTCACACAAGTGTGCAAAATTTCAGATCAATTGGACAGGTAAAAGTGTGTCAAATATCAGTTATAAGATTTGTAGCTGACAAAATTGTTTTAAAAAAATTTTAATATTGTTTTTTTTTTTAATTTTAAAAATAATTTATTTTGTCATTTGATTCTTGTATTGCCTCCAACTTTACGCAAGTGTGCAAAATTTCAGATCGATAGGATAAGTAGAAGTGTGTTAAATTTCGATTGTACGGTTTGTAGCAGACAGACAGACAAACAAGAAGTGAAGTTAAAGAGAAGTGTTGTAAAAAGGAGGCTGAAGTATCATTGCAATTGCATTTTATTTGCATTCAAAATTATTGCAGATAAGGCCCGAAGTTTTATAATTGCAGAGTTATTTTTTGAAAAACATGTCAATGGACTTTCAGAACTCTACATTGATCGGTTTCTTCTACCAGATTAAATTTCGAACATAAATTTAAATAAACTAATTTTCTCTTTCAGTACTTTCCTACAGCTTTACACGGTTTGTTTTTAAAAAAATCCAATCATTATTCGGTGGTATTTATGAATTGTTTTTCAGCTGATGATAAGAAATATCTCGCTATTTAAAAATTATTTCATTAACATCAACCGAGAGAACAGCGTAAATTATTTCGTTCTGAGAACTAGTGTCAGTATTATACCTCTCTTGACTTAAATTGTAGCTATTATAACATTATTGAGGCAAATATTATTAGAAGCTGACTTTTGCAATTAAGTTAAATTTTTAAATGGAATTTGACAATATTTCGTATCTATGACCAAAAACTACCATGATATAATCACAGATTGAAACATATCCACTAATCAGAGTACCAACACCACTGCTTGTTCACAGAAACCATTACAGACACCTCATCCACGAGGTTCCTTGCTTACGTACCTGCTCCGAAGCTAATGCTAGGGAGACCTCCAACTCCGGTGTTTTATACAGCGTCCCAACTTACCGCCTAATGGCGTACGCAGCCATAACTTTTGGCACAATCTCAAGCGGTTACTCATATATGCTCCCTGCCTCATCATACCCAAGAAAGGGCGCATTCTATCGACCTGATATCTCGTAAATGAGGGCATAAGCTTCTCAGATATTAACTTCCCAAGGTTACATAGCTTGTTCCGAGCTAGCGACGCAATTGCCAAGAAAACGAGCTCTAAACTTGACCGAAAAATTTAACAGGAATCGAAAGGCGATTGAAATGTACAATTGTACTGTAAACTGCACAGTATATGTCTCACAAATATACAGTTAAGGACTTAAGTGGAAATTGTGCGTTCAGTGAAGGCTTTTTTAACGCTAATCCTAACAATAAGGATGGAAATATTCAAAATTATTTGTAGAAGTTACATATTGGAAATTAGTATTAGAATACTTAATTGCTCAGGGATTTTTGATTTGACCTAAATAAATCGACTTCAGGTGCACCAAATTAATAGTATGAGACATTTTAGTGAACTTTTCAACATCACTTGAAAGTTTTCTTCAGAAACATGCGCACGAAACACAAACTCAGCACGCGCTTCGGATCGCAAGTTTGACGCCCGGTGTTTGCTTGTGTTGCTAATCATAGCCAGTCGCCCCTCGTGCCGTAAGGTTGCGGTGCACCTGGTGAATATTTCGCGTTTTTTGCTCTACATTAATTTTAGTACGTATTCATGGCTTCCTTTAACATTCAACAGTCATTTTAATACCTTTTTCCATTGGACTAATGTTTTTTCTATTACGTCTTTAATGGCAAATCAACTACTTTTCTAGCGAGTATATTATGAAATTAAAATTAAAATCAGAATTAAAAAGTTAAAAAATAATTAAAAAGATCAAGGAATGCGAGCTTTAAAAAAATGTACTTTTTTCGACAGAGGTTAAGGTAAAATAGCCACGCTTACAAAAACTCGAAAGATAGGAGAACCATTAATTAGTTTTTCAACAATATTTAAAGAATGTTTAGGACTTTTTTCAGTGATTGCGTGTTCAATATATACATTTTAAACGAAACAAAAAAGTCATCAGAACTGGATAAAAGGTAGTCATCAAAATAAAACGAAAGGTGGCTATCAAAACTAGAATCAAGCCGCCATCACAACTTGACTAAAGGTAGCCATTAGAACTTAACTAAAGGCAGCCATCACAACTTAACTAAAATCGGCTATCAGAACTAAATTAAAGGCGCCCATTTCTACTTAACTATAGGCAGCCATTAGAACTAAACTAATGGCCGCCATCACAGCTCATTTTAAGGCCGCCATCACAACTTAACTAAAGGCAGTCACCACAACTTAACTACATGCAGCTTTCACAACTCAACTAAAGGCAGTCACTACAACTTAACTAAAGGCAGTCATCACAACTGAAATAAAGGCAACCATTACAACTTAACTAAAGGCAGTCATCATAACCAAAGGACGCGACAACAACTGCTAAGGAAGAGGCCTTGCATGAGCGACAGCTGTTGACACCTGCTGGCAGGTGCTGCTGGCCATGACAAACGACTTGACAGCTGTGAAAATATACATGCTGCAAATTGAGCAGGAATCTCTGGCTATTAATGACATCGGACACAATTTAGGCAACTTGTTGCAATCATTAAGAGGGGTTAACGCTCAAATAATTAATTGAAATTATGAATAGCCCTTCTACGTAGATGGATTGATTAAATTGATTAAACAACATTTACAACGATACCGCCATTTACTCTTCTGTCTTGTAGTCCTTCCTCATAGCAAGGAGTAGGCTGTTGCTGACATTCATTCTGCTACAATAATTGAGCTAATATTTCATGTAACGGATAAAATATAAAATACATAAATATATTATCATTTTAATTAAATTGTAGAAAATAAATTTTAGTTATTTAGGTATGTGTAAAAGAATGCTCTGGCAAGCAGTGCACGAATTTGGTCGTACATAATTAATAATATTGGTAATCTGGGAGAATAGGGCGTAGATGCTTCGAGCAAGAGGAGCTCGAGCAAATTAGGCACCAATGGCTCGGAGCAGATGAGCAGCCGCAGCCTCTGTCATCAACAACACGGAAGAAAACATCGTCGCGTCAATAGACACCCAGGAATCTGGCCAAGAAAGATCAGTGGGTGGGATTCAGGCTGTAAAAAGCCAGCGCCACCCCACAAGCCACTCTGGTAAGTCTAGTTCGTGGGCTATAAAAACCTCGGTCCGAGCGGCTGAGCGTGCCACTAGCTTCGGAGGTGTCTCGTAGGTAAGATGCAAGATTCACTACTGTGTGTGAGGATTTCGTGTGTAGTGCTTAGGCATCTCGGTGTAGCATTATATTTATGATGTGATTACTTGCGGCACAGGTCATGGGCTTCAAACTCTAGACAAGTTAAAATCTAAGAAAGTATTAACACGTTAACTCCAAAGTGGTACATATGCGTACCACAGGTGTATTTCTCCAGGACGTATTGGTGCATATTTGTCCCATTTCAATTATTTCGACTTTTTCTCAAAATAGATTTTACCGTAATAATTTGGATTTATTAACAAATTATTCCCGCAGGAGAATGCTTAGGACCAATGAAAAATCAATATAAATCCTCAATTTGTTTTTTCATAATAGTACAAAAAAAATGAAATAATATTACAAACTGAAGCAAGCGGAGTCAACGTGTTAAAGTTCATTGTATTGTTCAGTTACTCATGAACAATACCAAATAGTGATTGAAAGTTGTTTCTGGCCCTGAATTTGACCTATTTACCTTTAAACTCCTTTTCACTATTGTTATAATGAGAATAATCATAAGTTTGTCATGTTATCACCAGTATGTTCTCAAAATTCGCATTAGAATGACAGCAAAGATTGCACGATTGGGGTAATCACATCAATAATTAAATAAAACATCACATTTTTAAACGTCAGGACGTGCGCATTCTTCTAATTTTTATGAATGACTGATCTGATCTCTGTGTTAGATAAGTTAGGTCTAAAAATTTATTGGATAATTTTTCTACCTAGCTAACAGAGTGATGTGTTGAGGAAAATTTGTGTGATGTGTTACGGAGACAATTGAATGTCAAGTATAGGCGGAATTTCCTACGAGTCCCATTAGTACAAAAATGAAATTAAAATAACCTCTAAAATTCTGAAAATCTTATTAGTAAAATGGAAATTTATTATTTTCCAGTTCATCTGCTCCGGTCTTGTAACCAAGTCGACCTCAACTAGTCCAAAATGTGCGACGACGAAGCCTCCGCTCTAGTCTGCGACAATGGCTCCGGCATGGTCAAGGCCGGTTTCGCCGGTGATGACGCTCCCCGAGCTGTGTTCCCCTCCATCGTCGGCCGCCCCCGTCACCAGGGTGTCATGGTCGGCATGGGTCAGAAGGATGCCTACGTCGGTGACGAGGCCCAAAGCAAGCGTGGTATCCTTACATTGAAGTACCCCATCGAGCACGGTATCATCACCAACTGGGATGACATGGAGAAGATCTGGCACCACACCTTCTACAATGAGCTCCGTGTTGCCCCCGAGGAGTCCCCTGTCCTCCTGACCGAGGCTCCCCTCAATCCCAAGGCTAACCGTGAGAAGATGACCCAGATCATGTTCGAGACCTTCAGCACCCCTGCCATGTACGTCGCCATCCAGGCCGTGCTCTCCCTGTACGCCTCTGGCCGTACCACCGGTATTGTTCTCGACACTGGAGATGGTGTCACTCACACTGTACCCATCTATGAAGGTTACGCTCTTCCCCACGCCATCCTTCGTCTGGATTTGGCTGGTCGCGATCTTACCGCCTACCTCATGAAGATCATGACTGAGCGTGGCTACTCATTCACCACCACCGCTGAGCGAGAAATCGTTCGCGATATCAAGGAGAAGCTTTGCTACGTGGCCCTTGACTTTGAAAATGAAATGGCGGCCGCTGCTGCCTCTTCTTCTTTGGAGAAGTCCTACGAACTTCCCGACGGTCAGGTCATCACCATCGGAAACGAACGTTTCCGTGCGCCTGAGTCTCTTTTCCAACCTTCCTTCTTGGGTATGGAATCCGTTGGCATCCATGAGACCGTCTTCAACTCCATCATGAGGTGCGACATTGATATCCGTAAGGACTTATACGCAAACAACGTGTTGTCTGGTGGTACCTCAATGTACCCTGGTATTGCTGACCGCATGCAGAAGGAAATCACATCCCTCGCTCCCTCCACCATCAAGATCAAGATCATTGCTCCCCCTGAGCGCAAGTACTCTGTATGGATCGGTGGCTCTATCCTGGCCTCCCTCTCTACCTTCCAGGCCATGTGGATCACCAAGGAAGAGTACGACGAGTCTGGCCCCGGCATTGTCCACCGCAAGTGTTTCTAAGTAATGCGTCACACAGAATTACACGTTATTATATCAAAATAAATTATTTTTATTTTCTTTGACCATGTTTTCATTTTAGGAAGATAAACTTTCCTCACACCTGCCTTGTTTTATTAAAGCCTCTACAGTCTTATTGAAGCGAATTGCTGAAAAAGGGTCTCCAATCTTACAGAAGTAAAAAGTACAGAAATGAATCCTCCAACATGCTAAAAATTTAATAGAGCCGAAACCCTCGAGTGCAAATACTTTTCTCGATCTTCAGTTAATAAGCTATGTTGACCCCTTGAATTTTGGCACAGCTTGGTTAAGACGCGGTCTGTATATATTTAGTTGAAAATAGGAATCACACATGCCTCGAAATTTGAACTTCTCCGATATTAGCGCGCGAGCCTTCCTAGTACCTAATTTATTCAACAGGGTAAAAATCCCGGCAATTCCTTTCGAAGTGGCACTAGGTAACAATCAAGTACACACCTGAAATTTATCCATTAATTAAATGGCTTCGTTAATGTTCACTGAATGTTTGAAGTCTTCTCCTCCTACATTTTATAAGCTGACCTGGTAAAAATTACGATAATATCACTAATATGATCTGTTTTGAACTGTTTGTGGTTGAATTTAAAGGTTGTGATGACAGAAACGCTTCTTTGTCTCATTTGTTTTGCTTATGTTGAATGTTTTAAAATATTAAATCACTAGGAATTTAGGGCGGCATAGCCTAGGTTTTAATTATTCCTATACTGAGGTTTTAATTATTTCTATAACTTCTTGGAAGTTACTGAACAGGCATTCACAAAATTGCTACTTTATGCATTAGTATCACTCATAGGTATATGAAGTTTCCAAATAAGCTTCAATAAACCATCATTGAATTCCTTTGTGATTGACTTCATCAAACAGAACGAGACGAGTTCGGGACGCGTTCAGCTTGACATGTAGCCTGTAGTACGTTTCGTGCAATCGTGCATTTCGTGCCTTCAATTCCTTGCATCGCCAATTCGCCAGATTGCCAGAAGGTACCTACCTACCGTAGTGGGCTTATGTATCCTTGACAACGATCAGGTGTGAGGTGGGAGCAAGCTGATGACGGGACAAGTCATAAAAAATAATTATATTTATTAAATAATGTCACTGATTTGGAGCCAGCATGCGGAAAAATACATGGAAGTTGAAAATGAGAAAGATAGGCTGTTTGAAAAAATGTGTGGAGGTTGACGGTCCACTTCAAGCTCAAGGGAGTACCTACAGGAAAATAAGGAAATTAGGTAGGTATTGACAATTTGACATGAATACCTATGAAAGCGAGTGCGAGAGTAATGTCCGCTGTCTGGTTCAGTTTGGAAGAGACAACTTGTCAACAATCAATTGAACTGACAGTGACAGTACTGACTCAAGACCGTAGGCTGAGTTGTTAGCTAGCTAGGTACTTGTTAGAGGCCCTAATTTGGGAAAACGAATGTTTTCATTAAAAAAATTAGTGCCAATGACTGCAATGAGCAATGACAAATTGACAATCGGGCATTTCCCATTCGATCCCAATGATTCAGCAGACTCCAGATTTTTATTTGCTTGCCATTTGTCCACTCATCAGATCAAAACTGTAAATTACAGGCCAGGATATAGGTATACAATTTGGAGTCATAAAATCTTGTGTAAATATTGCAAACTTTTTAGCATTATAGCTAGCCTTACAAGTTGCAACTTGTAAATCCTAATCTTCATTCAGTTCATTGACTGCGTAGTTGTAGGCCTATGCCCTATGGCATGGCATCATTGGCATGTCTTGTCACTGTGTGTTGTGTGAGTCGTGAATTGTGATGTCTGTTGTCTGTTGCTTTGCTAATTTTTGGCCTGCTATTCTCAAAGTCTGGCCTGTCCGGGTTCAAACTAGGAAAATGTGCAGAAGCCACACATTAATTAATCAGACAAAAACACCTGTAAATCTGGCCATTTTCACTCATTCCTAGGTATAGCCTTTTCCTGATTCCTCCAAAGTTCAAATTCAAAGATTAATAAAAACCACATTTTTACCTGAAATTTTCAGAATTCACTAGTGAAAGTTGAAACAATGATTTTACCTGGAAATCTGGAAATAATTTTAGTTAACTTCTAGGTTCTAGCTTCTACAGTTCTACACATCATGCAAGCCTGGAAAACATTTACCTTTAGGGCCGCAACTAGAGCTTTCCTGCCATTTCCTGATGTCCAATGATATCTGGAACTGCTAGTCTTATTTATTTATTGGTGCTAGATTTCTGCCAGATCAATTACCTCCTATCTAATTGGCAACAAAAGTGCACAATCAGGCTGCAGCCTGCAAGATTCCAAATGTTTTAAAAGATTGTCATGGTGGAGCTGTGAGATTTCAGAAACGATAGGAAAATTCCAATCCTGAACGGGCTGAACCCATGCGGCCATGCTTATGCAGAAATTTCAAACTGGTGCGGACTGCAGTGGTGCCAACTGCCACAACACTGACAACAGCAAGGATTGGATTTTTTCTACTTGTTTCTGAAATGTTGTGGCTTCAATGTGACAGATTTTGAATACAATTGAAATTTTGTGGCCTGATTGTGCACTTTTATTAACAATTAGCAAAGAGGTAATTCACCTGGCAAAAATCTCTCAGTTCTGGAAGTGGCTGAAAAGTTCTAGTCATGGCCCTAAAGATAGATGTTTTCCACGGAATCCGCACTTGATGACAGCCAGTCAACCTACAGCTACAACTTACAAGTAAAACACTTCACTTGCTGCTACCTTTTTTTAGAAATTTCAAGACTTTTGTCAAGAAAATAGTTCCCAACTTCCAACAATGATAAAATAGCTGCCAATTGTTTGCAACTTGAATGAATGCCCACTGTACAGTCTGCAGTTTAAGTTTACAGTCAAAAAGCCACCCTTAAGCAAAATTTTAACTTCAAAATGACCTATAAAATACCTTGTATAATTGCCAATATCTTTTTCTAATAACAGTATTACCTTCTGCAATGTTTGGATGAAAAGAAATTGTAAAAGCATTTTATTTCAACGAAAAACTTAGTCCTATTAGTACTCAAGTTATGGAAAACTTGTAGCCAAGTCTGTATATATTACAAGAAATACTAAAGGCTTGGTTTTAAAAATTGAAAAAGTTATTGTAACAAATTTGGTGAGTGCTAAGTTGCTAACTGGGAGCTTAACGAAGAAATATTTAGGAAGTGAAATTATCTAAACAAGATACAATGCTTGCTTCTTATCAAAATGTCAGAAGATAATACAACTCAGCAGGTTAGTAATGTCTTAATTTTCTCTGTCTGTGTAGCTACTTCTTGAAAAATTCTGCTTAAATGTTTTTTTTTTGTACATACCTATGCAGTGTAAATAGACAATTTCTATATGTAAATACCCTCTAAATCATAATCAATAATAATTTTTATAAAATAAATAAAATAATAAATATATTGTTGATACAACACAACTTGAAATAAAATTAGTTTGAGAAACTTTGATACATTGTTATCCTAATTATCATCAGTGTAGAAGAAAGTGATGTATTGTTAAATAAACTTATTCCTTAGAAATTTCTGCTATAGGTATAGTTGCATATAAGTAAAGTTGTGCAATCTTGCTTTCTAAAGAAATTTGATTCAATACAATTTCACAAATTGTAAACACTTGTGGCTATAAAAATATCAATATTAACAGCTCAACTGTCCAGTGTCCCTGACTCCATGCTCATGGCTCTAATATAATTGCCATTGTCTTGTGTGAATTGAAAGTGAAAAATTGAATTTTACCTTTTTTTTTGCATTATGGTAGCTGTAATGACACTCAAGTTGAATATGAATATCTTTTCTATTTTTATTTAAGCTAAAAAAATTGTATCCATCAAAGCATCTTGTAGAGTTTTTTATTGTTCAAAATAGAAAAATCAATTTTATATTTTATATGTAAATTATGAAATGTTTATTTGCAGTGTGATGAAATCGAAGCTGTATCTGCAATCTATGGAGATGACTTCCAGGTGGTGGACCAATATCGTAGAGAGTACAGCATTTCGATTTGTGTTGCAAGCCTTGTTGTGCTGCTGCAGGTGAGTAACACATATATCATTTTTGGTCTCTGTATCATTTTTGGTCTTTGGATTTTTATTTTTTTGTTGAAGCAGGTGATAGTAAATATTGTTAGTACGGGTATATGAATATGATGGACAGTGCCTATATGGTTAGCTAAACTTTATTTTAAATTATACCTATTCACTTGATTCTTATATTTTCAGATAAACTCTCTAGCCTTTTTTGATAATATTATTTGATGTTCAAAACTTTGAAAATCTTTGTTATGTCCAACATTTTAGTTGTTATGGTTTGTAGACTATGGTGGAGAGTGATTTATGTTACATGCTTGCTCAAAAACCTTGTACACTGATCATTGTAGAACATTTAGGTAAACTACAGGTATAACAGTTTTATCTACTTAAAAAGTGGAACTAATTAGTGAAATTAGACATTTTTTACCACATAAATTGCAGATGTCTGACCGCACACTTGAATACTGAAGGCCTAAGATTAGGAAGACCACCAACCTGAGCCATCACCTACAATCAAGCAGATAACAGTATAAAATTTATTAATTGCAATAAAAGCTCTTTTATACCTAATAATTATCTTATATTCAACGTCAGTAGTTATTTTTATATAATTCCAAACTGTATTTTTTATAATTTGACTACAGGTGAGACTGCCAGATGAGTATCCCAGCCAAAGTGCACCTCACTATGAGCTGGTGGCAGCTTGGTTACGAGGGGAGCAGCGTTCAAAATTGCGCGAGTGCCTTGATCAAGTTTACTTGTGAGCCTTTATACACTTGTAGTTCACTTAATGTTTGAATTTATTGACCATGTTGCTTCGTTGAAATGCCTGAAGCTCATTCTCAACTTGTGTCAATTATGTCTAGTGTGTCTATTGAATTGGACATTCTAGTAAAGCTTTTTTCTTTTGTCTTCTACTTCATAGTTAGTCAATTTATGGATAATCGCAGCAGTAAATATCAAAATTTCCTGGAATGTTCTAACGGATTTTACCTTCTCCTATTCTCATCAAAATTTACTATAACCATAAGTGAATGATTCTAACATACAAATCTGAATTTAAAAGTGTACTGTTAATACCTACTAAGGTTCAATATTGCAGCCAAATTATTCTTGTAAAGATTTGCAGTGAAAATAAGAGAGCTTCATTTGATTCTTTATCAAAGCATAATGCACCAAATGAATCAATGATTAAAATTGATTATTATGTCTCTGATGTTGTGTATAAAAACATTCAAATACTGCATCTATTTATAATTTATATGGCTTGGAATGATTCAAATAATGAGATGGAAGGAATTTAAACTTACTCTAACTTGCTTTTCTTGTTCTAATAACATTAAAGTTAACATTGCTGTTTACCCATTAATATATACATATAGATCCATTTTGCATACCTGCAGAGAACACGTCGGTGAGTGTGTGCTGTACATCTGGGCAGAACGTGTGCGCGAGTTCCTACAGGACCTTGTTGACCAAGATGCACAAGTGGAAGAAACCATCAAGGAGTTTGAACAGACAAACTTGGTACATAACTAAATTAGTGTGTTTTTCATGCATGTTACTTATTAAAGTTAGTTTTTTCTATCATTGGAGTATTTAATTTCCCAGATAGGAACTGGAATTGAGTAGTTGAGAGTTAATGTGAGGATAACAACATTGCATTTAATAAGTTTTTGGAAGAATTTTTTTTTGTCTGTCATAGACATGATTCTTAAGGTCCAAATGTTACTTTTCCTGAACTTTGGGCATATTATGCTTAGAAAATATATTGTCTCAAATCAGTTATATATACGTACATAATTACCTTGAAGCATGATTTACTCACCTTGAGTATAACTTGGCATTATCAGAGAGTATTTATACCATATATTCTTTTCTTTCGTGGTCCTGAAGGAAAATATAGTCACACCTATTCTCTACCTGTTGAAGTTTGTTTGTCTTTGGTTATACAGCTATGTGAAGCCTCCAACTGTAAAATATTTCACTGAATATTATGATATTAATCGTGTTAACTGAACCTGAAATTTTATTATTATTGAGAGAATAATGAATCATCACAAAAAGGGTCATAGTTTTACATGAAAAATATTTCAATGTCAAGCATAATTATAACAGGGAGGGTGATGGCGTAATGCCAGTAATTTCCGATAAAACCTAATATTAATAATTTTGTGTTTACACACAGTTAAATAAGCCAAGCGCTGGTGATGACGAGAGCTGCCAGAGTAGCGATGAAGGCTGCCCCTCCATCACTTCAGGCGACCTCATCATCGACCGCAAGAGCGTCTTCCAGCCCCACCTGGCGCGCGTCACGGATGTGCGGCAAGTGCCGTGAGTTACGAATGCTTTAACCCACACGTATTCCACACGTAAAAATTGGAACGCGTGCGTTAAATTCTGTTTGTTTCCAATGTGTTTTTTGACACACACGTGCTTGGAGTAACGTTAGAAATACGTTCTCGACACGTTCTTAACATCGGCGTTCATGTTGAGTTAGTCTGAAACATGTTCTCGATTCGTTCTTAACACAGGCGTTCATGTCAATTAAGTTAGTCTGAAACACGTTCTCGATACGTTCTTAACACGGGCGTTCATGTTAAGTTAGTCTGAAACATGTTCTCAATACGTTCTTAACACGGGCGTTCATGTTTAGTCTGCAACATGTTCTCGATAAGTTCTTAACACAGGCGTTCATGTTTAGTCTGAAACTTGCTATCGTCGCGGCCGTGTGCGAAANCGAAATTCCGTTTGTATGACATGCGTTCTCTACACGTCCGAGCTTCAAGTTTTGTGAATCACAGATGCGTTTTCGACGCGTCCGTGCGTTAAGTTTCGTGAGTGTCCGAAATTGCTGAAATTGTTACGATTTCGTGGCACTCGTGTATGCTGTAGTGCCTGTAGATTGTGAGAATATACCTATGTATACGAATATACGATACCGTATAATTTTATTGTTTTGAGTACTTTGGACGGACACGATCTTACTTTAAATTGAAATTCAATCTTTACAAGGCTGAAGTCTTCGTTTGCATGGAAATAATGGTCTGTCATAATAGGCCTTAATTCCCATCAGAACAGTTTTAAGGTTTTATCACTTTAAATTTTTAATAAATATGTGAACCACCTGCGTTTCTCGGTATAATTGACGAGCAATTCAGTTTTTCTCTCAGATTGATGTTCTCTAGTTCCTTTCGTCCAACAATTAGAGTTTTATGAATCTTTTCCAGACACTTAATGTTTTTAAATTTTTTTCCTATTGCCTGTTGTTATATTGTTCATTTTTTTTGATTTACGTTTTCAAAATTTTTTGGCACCGGGATGCTCTTTCTTAATTATATACGACTTTTGAGTTCTTTTGCTTCTTTTTACTTCTGTTGAAAATTTCTTCTTCTTTCTTTGCTGTTTTCTGGGTACTTAACCCTCCAGGAGATTCTTTTTCAATCATATGTCCACCTGTTGAATTCTTCTTATTGTTTTCCCGTCAATTGAAATATCACCCAATTGATTTTGCTCCTGTTTTCTATTCACTTAACTCTCCAGTTTAAGTTTGTCTATCGCTTGTCCACTTAATAAATTTTCCCAGTGGTTTTAATTATAATAATGATAATAATAATAGCGGTTTCAGCGTTTATTAGGCCGAAGGCCTGTCGCCGATTCTTAACATCGTAGAACATCCACTGCTTGTTGCGAGTCTCGAACTCTCTACTCGCTGCTTCAAATTTTGCTTTTGCTCAATCGCCCGGCCTCCTCGCCGATTCTGACCAGAAACTGGCGTACAGAGCTGGGATCGAACCCGCTCCTCTCTGCGCCAATCTTGGTACTCTGAACTGTAACCAATGGGCCACCCTTTCCCGCCGATTGAAATTTTCCTTAATTGTTTTCCCGTCAATTGTAGTCAGCCGACTGAAATTTTCCTTAATTGTTTTCCCGTCAATTGTAGTCTTTCTAAATTATTTTGCGCCAATGGTTGTTATCTTACTACCAGCTTTGTTTATGCAGGCTCGTGTTGAGCCGCCTCAAGCAGAACCGCAAGATCGCGACAGCGACACACAACATCTACGCGTACCGCATCGTGCTGCCGGACGCCGTCATGGCGCAGGACTGTGAGGACGACGGCGAAACTAAAGCTGGATCTCGTATGCTGCACCTCATGGCGGTAAGCAACATAACGATGTTGGAGCATGATTATTCCTCATGATGAACTCAATGGCGGGAAGTCAATTTAAATACTCTGAAGTGTAATGAATTGTTACTCTTTTCCTTAGATAACATCACCCCTCATCAATACTAAAGGTGCAGTAACGAGAGTTACCTGCACCTAAATATGGTCTAAATATAAATATATGCAATACTGCACCAGGTGTTGCCCCTAAAGGTGTAGTAACGAGAGTTACCGCACTATAGGCTCATGAGTTACCCTCTCGTTGCGTAAAAGGTTTCTACTCGTAACCTACTCGTGCCCTTCCGCAGGTACTGGATGTGGTGAACGTTTTGGTGGTGGTGACGCGCTGGTATGGCGGCTGCCACATCGGTCCTGACAGATTCAAACACATCAATGCCGCCACGAGGTCCATATTGGAAATATGCGGCTTCTTAGACGACGCCCAGGGATCCAGTAAAAAGAAGCAAATAAGTACGCGTAAAACCAAATGAAACGCGATGTTGTGTTTATCCTAGAGGACTAAACTGAGAATATCATTTGAAAAGAACTGTAGAACTGGTTTATATAAACTAACTTTAATTGGTGTGCATTGTGATATAAATGCGGAGCATCAGGTTATTTAGTTCAATTATCGATTCTTGCGGTTTTGACGATGAAGTTTAACTTTATGCGCTTGGGTGGAGGCTCTCCCAAATTTGACGTGAAGAAATTTTGGAATTATGTCGTTGAATGGGAGTTTATCAGTCGGTTTTTTATCTAAATTTTTAAAATTCATTTTACTTGGATCAATACTGTGATTGCACAAAGCTGAAGGAAGTTTCTTCTAAGGATTCGATCAGCCTCGCTAAGTAATTTATTGAGTTCCTTTTGGCAAGCTAAAGCCTAATTTAATACTGAATACGTATATATCAATATATTGCAATCTTTCTCCACAAGATAGATTTGTTATTTACTAGCTCAGCTACATCGGTGAAATCGAATTCTAAATTGATTTTTTACCCTAATTTTACTTTTTACCAGACATAGAGCTTAACGTCAGTTTTTTCCAATGCTAATTATATGGCTCTGATAGAAATTATTTTCCGTTATTTCCGCTGTTTCAAGTGAAATATTAGAGTGGAATTTTAAACACGTGGATTTGAGTGAAGTATTTGTGCCTTGCAACATTCTGCAAAAAATGTATATTCTGTCAGGGCTCGCATCTAGTGTATTGATTGCCTCATGATCGCTTATATTTTACAAACCATATCATATATTTTTCTTATGAATAAGTATAATCTAACACGTCTTTCAATTAACGTATAAAGTTGATCACTTTTTACATTGTTTAATTCTGCCTCCTTAGTTTTCCGCGTTATTTATGCTTTTTAGGGAATATTCTTTATGGAAAAAATATTAAATGTAGAAGTGAATGCTGCAGCAGCGGCGGTGCTGCTGTAGTGACGTTCCAATAAGTTATTAAATCAATGCTGGTTATTCCTAGTTTTATCCTCAATACCAACTTATTCGATGATCATACCTTTTCAGAGAGGACCAGAATTCATTAGAAGCATAAAAGTACCGTAATTCAGTGTGAAATGTTCCTGAGGCCTGAGCCTGAATTAATCCAATATGGTGTACATGAATTCAGTTTATTCATCGGATTTTCCATGTTCAATGGCTTTCTGAATTGCGATGCTTCGTGATAGTGATTCATTTTTCAGGTTAGAATTTATTAATTATATTCTATGATCAAGAAAAGTTAGGTAAAAGGAATTTACCTCAAGGATTTCCGAACTTGTTGCAAAAGATAAAGGCTTCATAACGCCAGAAATAGGTTATTATTATTAGTGTAATATGTGTTATAGTTTGATCTTGATCTGGAGTAGCGTTAAACCGGAGTTGATTTCAAAGTTTACGTTTAGTAATTTAAAACTAGTATTTCGAGGGCGTTTTCGAATAAATTGAATTCGTAATTGACTAAAGCGTGCTATCGTGCATCAATCAAATACTAGAATGGTGAGTCGATAAAAAATATAACTCAGTAGGTACTCACTGCAGTGAGTGACAGAGAGCTCATTTTCTCGTCGACGAAAACGTGAGTCACGGACAGACGGACATGGCGAGTACAATAGTGCACTTTTTCCATAAATGAGAAAATGCGCTATAAATAAGAAGCTATCTTCCTCAAAGTGAAATTTAATATAGGTATTAATATTATAGTTATTCCCACATAAAATTTTTCAATCTGTCACATTCGCGTACTTGCTGAAAGTTCTATCGTATTCGCTCGTAACTTCAGCCTTAGAGATAAATTTCACTGATATATAGATTTCGAGAAGTGCTTTGTAAAATCCAAAAGGTGAATGCGGTAAGCTGGGTAAACAACTTATTGAAACACATGCGCATATAAATACTCTGATAAATGCTTTCGAAATCTACTTGAGCTGTCGACCTGTAAACACCACGAGACGAGTAGTTGCCAAGAGACTGCTGAATGGGGGGCGCCAATACTTCAGTCGGTGACGCGCCTCATCTTAACCAGGTAACCAAGTGAGAAGCTGCTAAGTCACGCTGGGTCGCTCACCGTCGCTGAACTACGAAACGACGACACGTGGCTTATAGTCCATGAAGGATGCATCCATATCGAACCCGCGCCTCTCTAGTGCGTCAATCTTGGTACTCTGAACTTTAACCACTGGGCCACCCTGCCCATGGCGGATAGGATGCATCCGTAAGAGTGATATGGCGGATAGGGTGCATCCGTGACCGTAAGAGTGATATGGAGGATAGGGTGCATCCTTAAAAGTGAAATGGCGGATAGGGTGCATCCGTAAGAGTGATATAGCGGATAGGGTGCATCCATATGAGTTAAACACGTGGATTTAACAAGTGTTAGTTTACGTGTTAACGCGACACAACACGTGGATTGTTTCGTGTTAACATGTGTTAACACGACACAAAAGTTTTTAATACAGTGAAGGATGCGGCAAATAAAGTGCAATTGCAAGATGATCTTGACAGTTTAGTTAAGTGGGCTGATACGTGGCAACTGCGGTTTAATGCTGACAAGTGTAAAGTACTTCACCTCGGGAGGAACAATGAACAGCAATAATACAGTATGAGAAGACATAGTTACGACAAAAGAGCAATGATTGAAAAGTCTAGTGTGGAAAAAGATATCGGAGTTTATGTCGACAAGGAGCTGAAATTTTCTAAGCATGTTGAAACGAAAGCTAATACATCCAACAAACTTCTTGGTCTAATCAGACGCTCTCACGAGTTTTTAGATGCAGAAGCGATGAAGCAGTTGTTTGCTGCTGTCGTGCGCCCGAATCTAGAGTTAGGAAACGTTGTGTGGTCACCGAAATTTTAAAAGGACAAAAATTTAATAGAGAATGTTCAAAGACGTGCAACAAGGATGATTCCAGGCTTGAAGGGCAAGTCCTATGAAGAAAGATTGAAGATTGTGTAGCTTCCAAGCCTCAGTTATCGACGTCTGCGTGGGGACCTCATTGAAGTAAACAAGTATACTCATGGTTTATACAAGGTTCCCGAAGGATTACTAGAATTTGAAACAGTAACCAACACAAGGGGTCACTGCTATAAACTAAAAAAACTGCGCTGCAACTTGTCCATGCGACAACATTTCTTCTCGCTTCGAATCACCAATATCTGGAACAACCTCCCCAATTACATCCTTGGCGCTCTGAGTATGAACGCATTCAAGAACAGACTAGATAAAGCTATGAAAAAATATGTTCAGACTTGAAATGCCTAGCACAATATCGATCCCGGTGGAAGTCTAGTAGCTATTTCAAACCATCGTCAGTCTTGAAAAGATACGGTCAAATGACACGATTTTAGATCTTCTGTGAGCAAGTCACGAAAAGTTCATGAATCGGCGACAGGCCACACCAGGCCTAGTCCTTAGCGCCGACATCACTATGTTATGTTATGTTATATGGCGGATAGGGTGCATCCTAGGATACAAAGGTCTGACAGAAGTATGCATCCCAATAATATAGGGATCTGGATAGGGTGCATCCCTAGAACATAGTTATCTGATGGATGGGGTTCATCCCTAGAATATAGGGATCTGACAGATGAAGTAGTTGACGTTTCCGCAGTTTTCGTGTTTCCACATGCCGTTCAGTCCGATGATGGCGCAGTTCTTGTCGCGTCGTTCCCACATGCCGTTCCAAGCCCAGCTATCGAAATCGCCCTGAACGCTACCTGAACGAAATGACATATTGTTGCATACGAATCCATGACTATTGATTGATTAATCATTGACGCGAGGCATTAGGGAAAAATCTGGTATGCTATTTCTTCTTCCACCAGCTGCTGTGCTGCACCAGCCAACCAGCCATCTGACGTTGACAATGCGTTGTTTATACGGTGTTTTAACGAAATAATAATAATGATAATAATCTATACTAATGATGGTAAAACTATTAATGATAAAGATTATAATAATAATAGCGGTTTCAGCATTTCTTAGGCCGATGTAGCCGATTCTTAAAATCGCAGAACATTAGCAGCTTGTCTCGTAATCACCCTGCTCAGTGGTCACCATCTACTCGTAATCAACGTTTTTTCAACGTCACTTGCCTGGAGGGATCTAGCTCTCTCATTCTGTCATGGGCTACACCGATGACCTACCAGAACTCCAGAAACGAAAGCTTCAATAAAAACAAGGTAGCAGTTTCATCAGTTGAGGGAATAGTACGGCTAGACAAGTAAAAAGAACAATGAAGCAGTATCATCCGTTATGGAAATATCATGTCTGAAAGTGGAGGATCACTTCTAAATGTCCTGCGATGACCACAGTGAATTATATCAAATTTGGGAATTAATTTCGATTCTAAAATTCGTGTGTGATGAACGCAGTATAAACTGAAGACTTACCATCAGGGTAGAGCCACTTTCCCTCCTCCACCTCATCCGACAGTCCAATGAAGAAGTAAGAAGCCATGGTGGCAAGTGATATATTTTGAGTGATGTAGTCGTTCATGTCCTGGCTCTGTTTGAAATTAATCGTATGAGCAATCCATGCGAAGTTCCATACCACAGGTTCAAGCATTTTTTCCTTATTTACTTTCTGAACAATTTTTTACAAAGAGACTAATGACATTTAAATCTTATGGTCTATATTCAGTTATAACTAATCAATAATAGCTCTGGAAAATTTTCCAATGGCATCAAAGGCAATGGTATTTTGTATCAAAAAGGAACGTGTCATGGAACTCTTAGTAACACATCAAATGAAACAACGAATTAGTGATTGACAAACTCCTCTGCATTTTTCCTCTAACATTAATGCCAGTAAATTTATTTATACAATGAGTTTCCCCTTTGTCCGCAGATGGTTCCAAAAGCCTTTACACTAATGGCATTAATCATATTTAATATATCTCAAGGAAACAGGATAATTAAGAACCTTGTCTATTTACCTTGATGGCTACCAAGTCTCCTCCTTCGTTTTTGCAACGTTTTGTTCCATCGGCAGCATTTTTCATCTCGTAGACCGGCAACAAGTAATCGGTGCCGACGAGCATGTAGCCTTTGTCTGAACCTTTCAATTACGTTCAAAAGATGTAAAAGTTTCACTTATTTCCACACATGGTCTAAGCTGCTATCGTTGAGCTCATACTTTATATCCCGCATTAATACAAATCTGAAATGTCCCAAAATAGATAGGGCACGCCTGAATAAAAGACTGTGATTAATTTATATCAGTGAAACCTTGAAATATAATTATTAACTAAACTTTAGTATTCAAAAGTAAAACGAACAATGTACTTCATTCCGTTTGTTGCGAATGGACTTACTCTTTAGCAGAACCCAAAGTTTGTAGGAGTTCTGGAAGACAGTATGTACGGTCATGTTCCTCTGGTAGATCTGGCATGTCTTGTGGAAGCTGGAGTATGCGTAGGCGTCGCAATTGTCATTCTGTTCGTTTAGGAAATAAAATTGAATAAAAAACCTGCTTTTATTTCGTGATCTATAAATAGCAACGAATTCAGCATTGAATGAAAATTGTTTTATTTATCAAAGATGTTACGATGAATAGTGGAGTATAATTCGGAAGGAAGATAAGAAATAGGAAAAACAAATTTCAAAAAGGTAAATTCAGAAAAATTTTATAACGCAATTTGATATGCTTGTGAGCATTTAATTCTTGTGCGTCATTTAATTATATTCAATTCTTATTTGATTCTTACCTGTGAGCATATCGCTTGGCACACCGTGCTGTCAGTGGTAGGGGTTATGACACTGAAATGTAACCGTTTTTTTGTTACGCGTATAGAAAGTTAAGGAACAGAGCGCATAGTAAGTTAAAAAACAGGATCTTTAGGAAGTTAATAAACAGTGCCTTTAGGAAGTTAATAAACAGTGCCTTTAGGAAGTTAATAAACAGTACCTTTAGGAAGTTAATAAACAGTACCTTTAGGAAGTTAATAAACAGTACCTTTAGGAAGTTAATAAACAGTGCCTTTAGGAAGTTAATGAACAGTGCGTATAGTAAGTAAATATCTAGAAAGTGATATTTTATGTTGAGGGTTTGTGTTTATCAAATAATTTAAATTTTGTTGTTTTGACGATTGAGTTTTCCACGTTATAGTTATTTTTACAGTGTTCATTTAAAAACTGATCCCGAAACCAGAAATGTATCAGCCCTTATTTGATTTTATTCAATTTTTAAATGGGAAATTATTTGCATAAGTGCGTTCTACGTAAAACGCCCAAAAATTTCATTTTCTGTTCTGGAACGCGACTATGCAGCGCAGCTGGCCATTTTATCAGCTCCTAAATCAGAACTTGCGGATATCCTTTCCATAAAACCTATTTACATTTAAAATAGTATTTTTATAATTATTAGTGATACATAAATATTTTCGGAACATAAATATAATAATGTAATTTCAGGACTCACCCGTTCGGAAGGGTGACGTCGTAGCGCATGTTGGCCAAGGCATTGCTGGTGTAGAATGTTTTATCATCGGCGGTTACCACGGCGACGCAAATCGCCAAGGTGAAGGTGGTTGACACCAGGCGTGACATGGCGGCGCCCTCGACCGTCAATCGATCAGCAAATTTTGATCGATCCTTTGCACTTGAAATATCTGATCAAAAACGGATGGATGCATAGAGTTTATGATTGATGAATGAAAAATATTTTATTGTTTTTTTTTGATGATCGCGCGCACTTGATCATCAATCGGTCAGCAAATTTTGATCGATCCTTTGCACTTGAAATATCTGATCAAAACGGTGGGATACATAAAGTTTATCATAGATGAATGAAAAAATATTTTATTGTTTTTTTTTGATGATCGCCAGCACTCGATCAACAATCGGACGGCGGATTGTGATCGATCCGCTGTGCTTCGAATGGATTTCCTAAAATACTAATGAACAAAATTCTTAATGTTATTCGCAAAATTACTGAGTGTGAGCTAGGTTTTTAATCGTTTGTGATCAATCCCTTTAAGTTAAAATAAGTTGTCAAAATGGTATCTTGGTGCAGAGAGAGCCGGCAATAATTTTTTCACAAAATGAGAAAATAAAATTTACCCTCAAACTCGGGACCAAAAAAAATCTTTTGATATTAAAATGTTTGTTTACTTTAGCGAGCCTAAAGTTACGACGAAAGACGTTAAAATATACAAGCAATGCTGTGGAAATTCAGCTATAAAATGTATAAATCTTTAATAAGTAACCGATTAGAGTTAAAAAATCCATAATTAATAAATAAATAATTGATTCGATATCACAGAAAACTGAAATATAATTCACAAATAGCGAACAAGAAAATCCGGAATTCACTGATGAGCGTTTATCGCATTAATTCTCATATTAAAGTCATATTAGTCGGCCAGCATTAATACCCATATTAAATAAAACACTATTGAAATTATATATACATACGTACTTGAAGCGGCCGGAGTACAGTACCGCTAGTCGCTCACTGCAGCCTGCGCAGCCCCGACGGTACGCTGGACCTGTTGTTTGTAGCTCGTCCTGACGACGATGTTCTGTGTCTTAGTGACCTGACCGCCGCCTTGACGATCAACGTGACCTTTACTGCAGGTGGCGATCAATCGATCAATTTGACTACATTATGCATGGTAATTTGATCGATTTTCATGCCGAGGCGTCCGCTTCACTCCCCATGCGTGTGCATTCATTTCAATGTTTGTACAGGTGCATTCACTTCACTGTCTATGCAGGTGCATGCGTCTTCTCGCCAGCATGCAAATCTGAATTCCCAGTTCATACCGATCACTTCGTTTGTTTGTATTATACATGTGTCATTTATATACCTATTATTTATACGCATTTTATTTCGGCTTTACCCTGTTTTCTATTGTTTGTTGTGTCTAAATTTCGTTTATCTAATTTTGCACATAATGCGTTTGTAAATCGATAGAAAAGTCAATGATAGGCTATACTATAAATAGTGTGAGTAATACAATGTTGTCTGCGAGGAATGATAGATTAAATGCATGGATACGTTTTTTTTTCGTTCCAGGTCATGTGTCACTGTTAACTTACCCGTATAAAAGTCACGCATGTTACACAATCTCGTCAGTGTCGCTCACGCAAAATTTTTACTGACACAACTTTTTCTGAAGAAAAGCTGCTTGATGAGAGGCCTAAAAGTTACATCGTAATCCTGGTTTTTCAAGCGTAATCTCTGACATGTCGAAATAGGCCCTTAGTTCAGGGTTGCTAGATGGGCCATTTTGCCGGCCAAATTAGTCGATTAAGGCCTTTTTCCATTTGACTAAGCAGAGCAAAATTTACGATATTCCTAAACCTAATATAATAATAAAACTCTAAAAATTATTATAACTCACAGTTATATTGAATTATTAATTATTATGTCAAAAAAATCCATTTTAAACGTGAATATTGAACTGTGGAAAGTTTTAAACTTTTTTGTGAGCTCGTTGGCCTTTTTCTGGGTGCCACCGTCTGGCCAGCCTGCTAGGGTTTCCGGCAGGGCAAGACAGGCTTGCGTAAGGCTTGGAGCACGAGCCCTAATTTGGGCTGCAGTTTGTTTACTGTGTTTATTCCAAGCGACGCTCATGCTTACCTAGAATCTTATTACAGGAAACTCTGCCGAGCCTTACGCTTCTGGACTGTTCTGGTAATCTCCTGACGAGCCATATATACGCATTAACTTTTTATGACTTGAGTTACAGGGCTCTTACGTCTGTTTCTTTAACAGGCCCTGAATTTTTTTATTTCGACTTTGCTAACTATTGATTGTGACGATGGAACTGACGAATTTTCTACCTATTTTAGAATTGACGATTTAGCTAGACTCCGAAATTTTTTCTAAAAATATATGATAAATACAGGTGGAATTTTCTTTACTTTAAAATTTTTAGTGGTTGCCGAAAGATGAAGGATTCATGCTTTACTATTTCTCGAATGGCAAAGGGTGCACGTTACATTGGTTCCAAAATATAAAGAAAATTGGCAACATTCATCCTCAAAAGATAAAGTGTACAAGCTTCCATGCTTGCCATTCCCAAAAGACGCGGTGACAGAGGAGAGTTCCTACAATGCATCAACATATCCCGTCATGTGCATGGTAGCAGCTGCATGCTGTGAGCTCTCACTCTGTACGTGCATTGAAATATCGATAATATTTCACGTGTTGGATTAGGTGGATGCGACCTCATGACGGAGCTAAGCTTTACTGATTATCTTCATGATATTAAAGTAATTATATATGATATAAATTATAACCTAAATAACATAATAATTTAAAAATATTATTAAAGTTTGATGAATATACAGAATGTCAAAGAAAATGAAAACGTAATGCAACGCAAGCTTGAGATTCGAGTATGCAGTTTAATCAAAATGAGGGTCATTGTTAAAGAAATTGAGAACAATTAAATCTTTGTGTGAAGATGATTATTGTTCACAGAAGTAGATAAAGAAATATTATATATAATGCAGGTTTAATTTTGTAGGCATTAACCAGTTTTCATACTTGGGAAACGAGTTGCATCACACTCACAAAAATATATGGGTCCTACTGTCAATATAGTGACTCACATATTGCACACAGCAATATTTATGTCACTTAGCAATATTTAAACGTATAGCAATAGACGAATGACGTAGAAAGTTCGCCAATATTAGAAATGTAGTCTCTCATTTATTAAATTAATATTGGTCAACTCAATTTCTTAGTGAAGAAACAACAACATTCTATTATTGGAAGATTTTAGTATATATATTATATATGATTAAAATTTACGGACTCCATAGAAGTGAGTGTTAAAAATACTGCAAACAAAAGAACATAACACGTAATTTCCATCTGAAAAGGAGAGTCATATTCTTTAATATACCCTTTACGAATGCCACAAAAATGTTATTAACTTATTTCCGTGAATAAAAACTTAAGATAAGGATATAATAAAAAACGATTGAAAACTATAAATAAGCAATTATAAATCCAAAAAAATTGCGGGGAAAGACCACCAGCCAATCCGTGGGAGCGGTTGTCTCATATCGGACTAATTTCTTTGTACATATTGTCTACCTAGCAGAAAGACGGCGTAAAAATACCGTTTATGAAGGGAAATTCAAGCATAAACGCAATGCAGAACGCCGGATGTCGGGAAGTAGCGACAAGAGCGACAGGCTGAGATCATATTCAATCAGAAAAATGACTGAATCATGTGTCCACATTGTGAAACACTTTCTTACTCACAGCTCGGGCGCGCTAATTTAGCATCACAGATTACTCAATTCGCGCGCCCACAAGGCAAACGACTTTGAAGCAACATTTAATCAACTTTAATTCAACTAAGTAATGTTTATTTCGACGTAGATTCAACGTCGTTTGCCTGGTGGGCACTGGCCTACTAAAGTACAAACAGTACAACGCTATTTGGACATGGCCTTACGTATTTATTTCCCTGCATAAGTTAGGATCTCTCGGGAATAATACGCGCCTTTCCCCCATTTTTCTCGGGACTGATGTCAATGCTTGCTGTACTCATCCAAAGTCAGAGTCCATTAAAAAATATATGAATTTCGAGTAAAATTTGTGACCACTGATCAGAATTTGTTATGTGACTTCATCTTTTTCGTTACGCATCCGACTTGATTTCGATTTCTATATTAAATATGTTGATGTTTTACGTTCTAAAATTAAGACTGATATAGCTACTAAAAGTGACTTTCATGGGGATTGTTGCTCGATGAATTCACTGTTATAACCATTTAACTTTGGTATTATTTAACTTTTAACTTTGGTAATTAACGGGTATTTTTTCCCACTCGGAAGTGCTGAGTCATTCGCAAGAAAACTTTATTCATGAATTGGAAATTAACGCACCATGAAATATTACGGCAACGTTTCCCAGAACGGAAGCCGTCTCAGCAACCACGAAATCAAACATTGCAACACGCGGGGCTTGCCGCATGGCTTTTTATAACTCTTCATTTAATTTGTTTTCCTGTAATATCATTAGGAAGTGCATTACGTCCTAGACCGTAACAAAGAAAGTCGTTAGCAGTTAAAAACATGGCGATAATGTATCTATAAATCTGTTACTATTAGGTTTCAAACAGTTAAGACCGTTTTTTTGGTTCCGAAATTCTAGCGCTGCTTGGAAAATTGATGTTTGCAAATTTACTGCAGAACATTTGTACTAGAACTGAACTTAATCTCTTCGATTTCGCTCGCAATTCTGCAATTGAATAGGAAAGTAGTAAAGTGCGTACATGGCACAACTCCATGGAATCCGTCATTTCCGGTCGGGAGAATGCATCGGTCTTCCCATGCACTAAACTGTGCCGAGTCGACCGCTCATATAAAGGGCTTCTCACTAGCGTCTTCATCAGTAAGTGCCTTGAGCTCTTCGTGCCAGAACACATCGACAAAAAACGTTCCCGTCTTGCACAGAAAACGACTCCTTCTGCACAGAAAACGCTTCATTTTACACAGAAAACGATCGCATTATAAGCAGAAAACGTTACTTGAGTGCCCTATTATTCTAGGAAAACTTGACTAGTCACTCTTCAAACCGGCTGCAGTCTCGCAAGTTCGCAACAGTTTTCTTCTCAGTCAGAAGGTGAGATTGCAAGAGACTACATGTGTACCGTCAGGAATTATAAGAAATGTAAGCATTACATCACTACTCTTTCAGAATCCAGTGTTGGACGAGATTTTGGATAGGGTTGAAATTAAAGACTGTTGTTAGATGTTGGTTACGTTCAGGTATTCCTGCAGTAAATTCTGACGATTCTTGCCTGGTGGGTTTTTGCACTCTTGAATTTTCATAAATAAAGTATTTTTTAATGACACGGTATGAATGAATTATGAAAATTTGATGTTATGTTTAGTATTCTTTTTCATAGTTACATCGCAAACATTTGTGACGAAGCAAAAATTTGTTTTAGTTTTGCTTGGCTAACAGCAGTGAACAGTGTAGGACTGTAGGTGAGCTACAGACAATGACCTGAATTTCCGAATGAAGCTTGATTGTGTGAATTTATGCCTTTGCACCCTGAACTTTTTAAATGTCTCCTCATCGGACACAAATTGATTACAAATAAAAATATATCGATGCAAATATCGTCCCCTAATTACGTTTACTACGACTTCTAACATTGAAAAATTTCACTCGCGATGTGTCGTTTATTTTAACTAATACAATTACTTAAGTGGTATATTTTCGCTTATGAAAGGCACTTATTCTCAATGTTCACATGACAAACAAGCACAACGCTGTTATTGTTTAATAATTCTTTTGTTAAAATTATTGCGTTTTAATTAAAAAGCGGTTCCTTAACAACTCTGCTGCTCGGTTACCAGATTCATGTTACCCTTGTTGTTGTCCCGCGCTTGCTGCGCCATCCTGTTTAACCTTGAGATGTCTCCAAGGTTTCGGTACTGTGTAAAAAAAATAAATCTGAAATGTTGTTGCTGCCTTCAAAAAGCTTACATGGATCTAAGATTGTCCTTTAAAAAGACTATATATTATTAAGACTATATATCTGCTAATTTGGAAGGTATTTTATGTTATTTTAAAGTTGTCATTTTCCTCATACGCATCTTGAACGCACCGGAAGCTATCGCTGCCCTGCAGCTTAGCAGGTTGTGTCATTACGTAACAAATTTCGTCTACGTCGAGGTATTGTTTCGTTGATGTGCGCATCAGTAGTATTGGCTGTCATCTTTATTAGTATTGTTTGTTCTAAATCTAATTTTTGTTGTGTTTGTTTTCTTTTTTTCTTAAAGATATTCATCACTCGGCAATATCAGTTTTTGAATTGCCGAAGATCACTAACGTTTTCTTTATTTTAAATATAATGAAAGCATAGTATTAAAAAAATGGCCAAAAATATATGAAAGGTAAATAGAATGGATGGTGCAAATAATAATGATTATTTCTTCATCCATCTGTTCTTTACTCTTAAGCCTTTATGCATTATTAGGGTATATTTTTTTCTGTAATATCATTGGGCGTGGGTCTTCTATAATGTCCTCGGAACCGACAAAGGACGACATTTTTGGGCTAACAAAACCTATCAAAAAACCCATTTTCTTGCAGAACAAGATAATGAAGGTCGCCCTGTGCTTGTCGCTCCTCTTTGCCGCCTCAGCCGTTGCTAGCCCAATGTTCGGTGCAAGTGAGTTTTCTCTTAATTAATTAAAAAATTATCTTGATTAGAATTTACATCATTCAGTTGTCAAATTTTGCCCCAATCAATACCCATATATTCGACTGAAAATTAAAAGTTCGATCTAATGCCATAATATACTGTATTCCTTTGACTATTTTAATAGCCATAAATTGTTACAAAAATTATAAAATCTTCTCGAAAGAAGAACTATAACCTTTGCCGTGCGTTTACTATTGCAACAGCTACTTCTTAAAAATAAAATTCAGTCATAAGTTTCCATTTGGAATAGGTATTGTGCGTGTAAACTTAATTAACCCTAAAATTCCCTAGGAATACTTTTTGAACGTGTAAACTTCAGTCATAAAATTTCACTAGGAATAGTTATGGAACATTTAAATTTAATCAGTCATAAAATTACACTATAAATATTTATGGAACTCAAAGTTCTTTTGCTATTAAATTTAATTATTAATAGTTATGAAACACATGAACTTTGTCAGCCATAAAATTTCGCTATTAATGGTTATGAAACGCATAAACTTCTTAAGCCATAAATTTCGCTATTAATAGTTTTGAAACGCATAGATTTCTAAAGTCATAAAATTTCGCTATTAATAGTTATGAAACGCATAAACTACGTAAGCCATAAATTTTGCTATTAATACTTATAAAACGTATTAAATTTCTTGAAAAATAACTCCTATTAACTGTACAGGTGGTATGATGAAGCGCCGGTTCCCCGGTGCACCAGACATGACGGTTCGCATGTACCGTGAGATCCAAAACTCCAACAACGCCCAACGCGAACCTGAGACCAACGCTGCTGCAGGGACCCCGGTTCTCAGAACCAACGTTGCCACGCAGTGAGTGGCGCTGGAGGCGCGAATGAATGAAATTTTCTTCTAGAATTCACGAGATAATATATGTTTCAATTTTATTTTTTATATTTTACATGGCAAGAATTTACAATAAAAATAAATTCGTTATGTTTGAATATAAATTTAAAATAAAGTAATAAAGTCCAATTTAGGAAACCAAACCGGTGAAATACGGTCTATTTCCCTATGTTGATGTCAAATTATTTCAATTATGACTTGTGCCACCGCTTGGTCAAATGCTGCGTAGAAATACTGTTTAATTGTTATTTTTAATTTTAAAAGCATTTTCAGTATATGATTAAGCCGTTCGCGATCCAATCTTATTGTCTTGATATTATGAATTGCTTTCCTTTCTCATATTGAATGATCGTAATCCTATTTGTTTATATCATCACGACTATTTTTGTTATAGGAACACTCAGGACAGGAACTGGATGTTCAGCAACGCTGTTCCAGCGCCTGCACTCACTGGCCCCGCTGACCTCATCGCTCCAGCCCCTCAAATTACCAGCCAATCCAGCGGCCAATCAGCTCCTGCTCAGCTGAATCTTCGCGACGTCCAATACCAGAACGCGGTAGATTCTTCATACTTCTACTCGGACTACCCTACCTCCTTCTACCCGCGGGAATCCTACGGTTACCTCAACTTCCCCGAAGCTGACCTATTCGATGGGTTCTACTCGAAGGGGTACAATTCTTATCGTGGACACAGTCCTGTTATCCCGCGTCGTGGATATTATTAGTACACTATACGTCTATACCTTTTATTAAATGTTATAATAATATATATTATATATGTTATTAGTATATAATATATAATAATATATATTATATATGTTATTAATACACTACTTTTCCATGACGACAAGCGTTCCATTACGCCCTCTCGTTAATATCCATTAACTAAGCACTAAGCATTAACCATAAAATTACCGTTAATCAAGTTAATATTATATTATGTAGAATAGTTTTGTTTAATCTGTTGAAGAAAAGTCGATGGCCGTTCGTTGAAGACAAACATTCTGTAGCGGTTAGGCCACCTGCTTTGAGATGAACATCTTTAAAAAAAAAAAAGTTCCTAACAAAGTTCTGTTCTTTAATTCTTTTTTAGAATAGAATACAATGAATAAGTGGAAGTAGCGAAGACAATGCATGATCTCGATGTGCCGTGATTGCTTATTTGTAAGGAACCAATGTTCATATTTATAATTAAACGTCGAAGAAAAAGGCTGACGTGCTATTTTTCATAACATTCCCATAAATTTCTAGATTGCTTTAAATTATTTCGGTTGAAATGCATTAGCGCAGATATTCCAATAAATTAACTTTTTAAATATGAAATATGCAGTTGCGCACGATTTCTTGTCGGGAGCTAAATTTTTATCTGCTTTACGGTTCATCCTTAAACATCATCAAGGTAGTGAAAACTGAAGTCGAAAATATTAAATAATTTTCTTCTAATTCGGACTACCTTGTATGGCATGAAAATTTTTATTGGAATATTCATATTAAAGTTATTACACATTTGTTATTCACGATGATTCAACTGATGGCTCATGACAGGTGAGAAGGATTTTTTAAAGATGCATCGCATCACTGATATTGAGTTCACTATGACGCATCTTTGATCCTTGTTCATGTTCAACAGTATTGCATTACTATAACTATAGAATATTTTATTATTTAGTATGACTGTGTATTGTGAAGCATTATTAATTACAACGAGTTTGTGAAAATAACATATTTTTACAGTAAAAGCGTCAAATAATAATATTATTGGTCATTCTTTACTACCAGGATTTATTAGATGGCACAAATTAAGGACATGATAAAATTTATATGATACGTGAGATAAACTTTTATTTTAAGTTAGATCGGGTTAATTGGAGGACGAAATAAGCATTATGTTGAACTGTTTATGTTTATGTGTACTACGAATGTAAATGGTTAAGTTTATGTTCAACTTAGAGCGTTCACTGCTATAGGATCCTCGTCGAGTCGTTAGCTTGACGCGTTCACTATAAAGATTCTCATCGAGTCTTTATCTTAGCGCGTTCACTATAAAGATTCTCCTCGAGTCATTATCTTAGCGCGTTCACTATAAAGATTCTCCTCGAGTCGTTATCTTAGCGCGTTCACTATAAAGATTATCCTCGAGTCGTTACCTTAGCGCGTTCACTATAAAGATTATCCTCGAGTCGTTACCTTAGCGCATTCATGCTGCTAGGATCCTCGTCGAGTCGTTATCTTAGCGCATTCACTATTAAGATTCTCCTCGAGTCGTTATCTTAGCGCGTTCACTGCTAGGATCCTCGTCGAGTCGTTATCTTAGCGCGTTCACTGCTAGGTTCCTCGTCGAGTCGTTATCTTAGCGCGTTCAGTGCTAGGTTCCTCGTCGAGTCGTTATCTTAGCGAGTTCACTGCTAGGATTCTCGTTGAGTCGTTATCTTAGCGAGTTCACTGCTAGGATCCTCGTTGAGTCGTTATCTTAGCGCGTTCAGTGCTAGGTTCCTCGTCGAGTCGTTATCTTAACGCGTTCACTGCTAGGTTCCTCGTTGAGTCTTTATCTTAACGCGTTCACTGCTAGGATCCTCGTTGAGTCTTTATCTTAGCGCGTTCACTGTTAAGATCCTCGTCGAGTCGTTATCTTAGCGAGTTCAGTGCTAATATCCTGCTTGGAATCTTATGGAAATAGCAATGCATCATTGAGATCCTTCGTCAGATTTGTTAAAAATTATCATAGACATTTGATGAAATGTAACGTAAACTTCGTATTTGAACGATGTTTAACGAAATTGATCATTGAATGGGTTAAAGAGAACCTGAATGTTATTTTTCGACACTTTCCGCTTTCCTAGAAGAGAATAACAATTAAGTACCTAATCGACGTAAAGGACAATCTTAAATTGGAGAAAATTGAGCTTTAATTGGAGAAAATTGGTTAAGTGCTGCACCAACTTCTGCATTGAATTAATTCGTCTCTTGCATTAATGATTTTCTGTCGTAAAAGCTTTTGCGAACTCAATTTAAAGCGATTGCTTATGAACCAAATTTTTTTCAACGAACTGGGAACAATAACACAGGAAAATTTAGAGCTTTAACGGTTTTATTGCGAAATTCTATAAACTTTTAACTTTTAAAAGCCACTATAAAATAAAATTTTGTAATTTTTTTAAAGAAACAATCAGATGACGGCTGGACAAATAACATTGTTGATATTATTTCTATTTTTGAGACAAGCTGAACCGAGTTTGGTCATTTCTTTTCCCAACCGGAAGGAAAATATTCCAGTGCGGCCAGTTCCAAGAAACACCGCCGAATATGAGGCTGGCAGTCCGCGGGATAATGCAGGTAACTTATTCAGCATTTCCTCCGCACCATCGCTCCTATATTTTGCTACCATCCGATCTCCTACCACCCCATCTCCTGCCATCCGATCTCCTACCATCCGATCTCCTGCCATCTGATCTCCTACCATCCGATCTCCTACCACCCGATCTCCTACCATCCGATCTCCTACCATCCGATCTCCTACCATCCGATCTCCTACCATCTGATCTCCTACCATCCGATCTCCTACCATCTGATCTCCTACCATCTGATCTCCCATACCATCCGATCTCCTACCATTCGATCTCCTACCATCCGATCTCCTACCATCTGATCTCCTACCATCCGATCTCCTACCATCCGATCTCCTACCATCCGATCTCCTACCATCCGATCTCCTACCATCCGATCTCCTCTAGATGCAAAATCTTCCACGGTATCGTGTCCCTCATTCACGCAGCTGGGTGCAAAAAAAAAAACGTGTTTTCTGTCCCAAATTTGAGTGTCGCTAATTACGAATGAGTACTCAACAGTTTGGAGCTGCCCTCGATCCGTGACATTTGGTTCAGCAGTTTGTTCTATAAACCTTCACATCAGAAATGCGGGAAGAACTAAATTGAAGATACTTTACGTATCCTTATCTTTGATAATATTTATGTCAGCATAATATATTATCAAACGCCGAAGACGCTATGCTATGATATTACTGGCATGTGATGCCGCAAGACCAAGAGCCCTTCCTGAAGCTCGGATTTGTCATAGTCACGCTGTAAGATGAGATTTATCTAATAATATATATTTATACTTTCAATATGGATATTATTCACTAATAGCAACCAAGATGGAAAGTTTATTTTCGTCACCATCTTGATGGTAATCGTGTTTCAATAAACAATCAAAATGGAAAGTGAGCTTCATTCCGACCAAACTGTGGATATAGTATGAGCATCACTATCAAGATTTGTATAATGCATTCATCACTATCAAGTTTGGAGTTCTGTTATCATCACTATTGAAAGTGATGATACGCACACATCACTATCAATGCCGGTATTCAGTTCTCATCACCATTGAAAGTGATAACATGCATTCACCACTATCAGGCTTGGTATTAAGTCCTCATCACTATTGAAAGTGATAACATGCAGTCATCACTATCAGGCTTGGTATTAAGTCCTCATCACTATTGAAAGTGATAACATGCATTCATCACTATCAGGCTTGGTATTCAGTCCTCATCACTATTGAAAGTGATAACATTCATCACTATCAGGCTTGGTATTCAGTCCTCATCACTATTGAAAGTGATAACATTCATTCATCACTATCAGGCTTGGTAATCAGTCCTCATCACTATTGAAAGTGATAATATGCATACATCACTATCAGGCTTGGTCTTCAATCCTCATCACTATTGAAAGTGATAATATGCATACATCACTATCAATGTTGCTATTAAGTCCTCATCACTATAATTTGATGGAAATCCCGCACTTGTTCACGCGTTTCTCAGAAGTCACAGCAGTGCGCGGTCAGGGCAAGGTTTGGGTTAGGCCAGACATTACCATAATGGCTTGTACCAACATGACATCTAAACCAATTCATTATAACCTAAAAACTTATTAATAGGTTCAATTTTTCTTTTTATCATTATGTGATATAAAAATTATATACGTTTTATTTTATATAAGAAATATGATATTAAATGATAAAAAAAGGCATTGCTCTTTGCTTTATTATGAAAATAATCAATCGACTGCCTGATGCCATGGACATTGTTGCTTATGGATGTTGGTTCAACCATGATTGTTGCTCACGGTATTTTTATTGTGTAGTTCAATATAAATATTTCATCCCATCTGATCTGAAGGGTGTTACCTCACTGTATCTTGCCACTGCCGAAATAATATATAATGGAACAGATCGCAAATTTTGCTACTAAGAATTAGTAGTAGTAAGCAATAATAATGCAGTTAATTGATTACTTGTTGACTATAGCCGGAAAGTGTCAAACAAGCTTCTTTTCATCAATCTATTGTTCGATGCATCATACCGTGCATCGTACCATAGTCTGCATTTTTATTCCGATAATCGAAATCATTGATTATATGGTTGTTAATCAACTCGGAATCGTATACGAAACTTTAGGATTCGTTTACTTTTCCTGGCATCCTAAAAGGAAGAATGTTCATTATATGCACAATTTTCTATTGAATTGACAGGTATATCGGTTCAAGGATGGCAGCTCGAGCACCGTTATGGCGACATTATATTGTTCAAAAGGTGTGGCAACCTAAAAAATATGTTGGGAGAGATCGCAATTTTTCAAGAACGCCATCTCAATCCACGTAATTTTCAGAAAATTGCCTTTCTAACTTTATGATACAGAGCAATTTTCCTAATACTGCCTTTCCAGTTTCATGAAATTATGAAAATTTTAGTGGATTGACTTTATTGCTGTATGAAACATAAACTGGCGGGCAGGAGAAAAAACAATGCGGGTTTCAGTGAAAGAAATTTTTGAACTTCGATTGTTCCATTTTGGCTTGGAAGCATTTTACAAATTTGATTGGTATTTTAGGGCACCGTTAAAGGCAGTAAAATTCTGCTTATTGATTGATAGGTCGAATTTTGTACGAGCCATAATGGACAATATTACTTTTTTGATTACAAAGTATCGTTTGATCATATTTCTCCTTCATAAATGAAAAAATCAGGCTAAGTTTTTATCTTTTGGGTCACCGATCAAAGTCCTGAAACTCTTTGCCAAAATTGGATTGGGCACTTTTGAGTAAATTTCTTAATTATTTCTAACAATAAAATTAAGTTTCTTGCTTAGTTTTCATTTTTCAGTCACCGATACAAATTCTAAAATTGTTACCATCTCAAGCATGATGCACAGCGCCTCATAAACACACGGGCTTTAAATTCAATAATTAAATTCTTTATTGTTTCTAAAAATAAAATTAAGGTTGTTACTTAGTTTTCAACTTATAGTCACCGATTCAAATTCTAAAATTGTTACCATCTCAAGCAAGATGCACAGCACCTTATATACACACGGGCCTAAATTCAATAATTAAATTCTTTATCATTTCTCAAAATAAAATTACGTTTCTTACTTAGTTTTTATTTTTTAGTCACCGATACAAATTCTAAAATTGTTACCATCTCAAGCAAGATGCACAGCGCCTCATATACACACGGGCTTAAATTCAATAATTAAATTCTTTATCATTTCTCAAAATAAAATTAAGTTTCTTCCTTAGTTTTTATTTTTTAGTCACCGATACAAATTCTAAAATTGTTACCATCTCAAGCAAGATGCACAGCACCTCTTGTACACACGAGCTTAAATTCAATAATTAAATTCTTTATCATTTCTCAAAATAAAATTGAGTTTCTTACTTAGTTTTCATCCTTCAGTCACCGATACAAATTCTAAAATTTTTACCATCTCAGGCAAGATGTACAGAGCCTCATAAACATACGGGCTTAAATTCAAGGGGTCACCGTTTTAAAGGGAAACGAAGACACGGTGACGCTCGCATCTGCTCAAGGTCTCGCGAAACGTCACAGAGAACAACGAAAGAGAAAGTCTTCCCGTTAATTTCCTTTCATTGGCAAAGTTCTGGAAAAATTACCCATGTTTTCTTGGAAATTTTACGTTTGTCAAGCAAATGAGCTACAATTTTGAATGCCTCGGCCGAGCCACAATGCCTTTGGATGGTTTTCCATGAAATTGGATTTGGTTAGCTGTACTTGAAACATATCTTGATTGCATAGTCAAGTGGATAGAACTACTCTGATAATGCACACAAACATTGATAAAAACTAAATTCAAGTTATCATCAATATCACATAGTTTCATTTTATGTTCAATTAATATTATTGTTAAGGTTGCAAGGAAAAGGCTTCTGAGAACTGTACTGTAATGGTGGTTGCAGACCTTGACACGAAGGCACCACATACACACAGTGGGTACAAACGCATGCACTCACAAAATATATCACATCAAACTCAGTGAAGCTCTCTTTAGCATTTACTATTAATTATGATTCTACCTCAGAGGGATTCTCTCTAGAATTTAATATCACTCATAATTAAAATGTTACATGAGCTACGATAAAAATATTCTGATAAACGGATCTTGGTTTAAAGAGAGTGAAATTCTGAATAATTTTGAAAAAAAAAATTTTTACACAAATTCGAAATGTTTCTCTTTGCTAATAAAAGTTTAAGTTATAATTTGATAAGTATTATCAACCATATTTAGCTGATTAAATGTGAAATTACTTTTTGTCATGTGTTTCTCGCATATTAACACGAGTGAAAATGGAAAATTTCATTTCATTCAAGATCGGAACTCATTTTATTGCATTTTTAACTTTAGATAACACAAAAAAATTGATTTTGAAACAACGAATTTTTTATCCGCTTCCTAAATTTCACTAGAATTTCGATCTTTACGTCGGTTTCTTCAAATTTCATTTCGCTTGCACCTTCGAAGAATTACCGTCGCTTTAAATGCTACTGCGTCAGCATTTTTTAAGATTCATTGCTCCATTTGTTTCGGCCTTCAACAGTGCAGAGGTGCTGAAAATTCCTTCACTTCCTTGCACTGGAGGTCAATTTGCGGTGCTGTATGCAGGGTCGCCACTGCAGCCTATATTAGAAAGCGAACTCTGCATTCTTACTCAGTTCACCGCAGCAAACCATCACATGTTGACGGTCGAGTTTGCTGCTTATAGCTTGTGACTTAAAATCTAACAATACTCCTAGCCATTACAACGTGCTGCTGAGTAAGTGATAGCAATCTCATGGTGAATATTTTCCATATATCACCTAGGTCATGATGATCCGATATAATTATTATATTACTAGCTACTGCATATTGATTATATTTCATTTATGGATCGAATTTTAACTGAAATATATCGAAAATTTATCAAGGGTTAATAAAAATTGCTTAGTTAAGAGTTTAATGTTTGAGGCAATAATAATAAGACAGAGAGGTTGCGTTCTGAAGGTAGAAAGTAAATCCTGGTTCTAACATAACCTGAATCCTGTAACATATTCATGCTGCAAATTAAATTCTTACTTAAATTTCAAATTTAAATTTCCAAGTTTTAGATTTGCCAGTGTCCATAAAAGAGGCACTAAGAATATACTGTATCAAACATGAATCTTTTAAATGATGGCCAAAAGATTACAAAGATTTTACGCTCTAAGGATTCCGTCTAAAAATCACCCGTATAATGGAGACCACTGATTGCTTGACAATAAACGCACGTGTAGGTCCTCTCACTATCATAATTTATTTAATGATTGGGTTTTAAAAAATATATAAAAATGTAAATAAATGTAAAAAAATTTATTGAAAAATTAACAATCGAATCGCAAACGTCTCGTTTGACACGCAAACGAGAGTGAAAGTCCTTTCGTCGAGCGCGGGGCACGAAGCTCATGTCTGATGTCGGGCGATTTTTTCACTCATCGTGGCGCTCTTTAGTGGAAGTTATTGTATAATTAAAAGTGTTCATCGAACAAGTTAGACAACAAAATGTGGGTGCCTTATAAAGCGAGTTAGAAACAGGTTAATTTTTTTAAGTGATCATGTTATTTGGTGCATCATGAATTTTTCTCCTGGAATATAAATGCGAAAATCTATAATTATTCAAACGCCAAGCACACTTCTACAGTAATGCTTAATTTTAACAAATTTTGAGTGCAAATCTATTCCTGTCCTGAATGTATTCTCAAAAGGATAATTAGATAACTAAGGTATTCGGTAACTCAAGTATTCGGTAACTAAAGCATTCTGTAACTAAAGTATTCAGTAACTAAAGTATGCGGTAACTAATGTATATGGTAACTAAAGTATTATTTCTGGAATATAAATGTGAAAATCTATAATTATTCAGATGCCAAGCACACTTCTACAGTAATGCTTAATTTTAACAAATTTTGAGTGCAAATCTATTCCTGTCCTGAATGTATTCTCAAAAGGATAATTAGATAACTAAGGTATTCGGTAACTCAAGTATTCGGTAACTAAAGCATTCTGTAACTAAAGTATTCAGTAACTAAAGTATGCGGTAACTAATGTATATGGTAACTAAAGTATTCGGTAACTCAAGTATTCGGTAACTAAAGTATTCGGTAACTAAAGTTTTCGGTAACTAAAGTATTCGGTAACTAAAGTATGCGGTAACTAAAGTATGCGGTAACTAGAGTATTCGATAACTCAAGTATTCGGTAACTAAAATATGCGGTAACTATAAAGTATTTGGTAACTAAAGTATTCGGTAACTAAAGTATTCAGTAAAAATATATTCGGTAACTCAAGTATGCGGTAACTAAAGTATTCGTTAACTAAAGTATTTGGTAACTAAAACATTCGGTAACTGAAGTATTCGGTAACTTAAGTATTCGGTAACTAAAGTAGTCGATAATTCAAGTTTTCGGTAACTAAAGTAATCGGTAACTAAAGTCTTTAGTATCTAAAGTTTCCGGCAAATAACGTATTCAGTAACAGAAGTATTCGGTAGCTAAAGTATTCGATAAATGTAGTATTCGGTAACTAATGTATTCGGTAATTTCACAGGCCACAAAATTTTTCGAACACCAAGGATGAATTTCTTCTCCATTGCTGTGCTGTTGCTGGCGCTTGGGGCGGTCGTGAATGCTGATATGTTTGGTTCTGGTGAGACGCATACATTATTATTAAGTGCATGCATTTTTTTCCTGATGCCCGTGACTTCTTGTTATTGTTTGTTGAAAAAATGTTTGCCAATTCACTTTTCCAGTTGAGCACCAATTGGCCTCATATTCAAAAGTTTAGAACTCTTTTAGATATGTATTTGAAAATATTTCCAGTGTTGATTAATTATATGATTCAAATTAATAGTTAATAACCGTGTGATCAGTTTTGAGCTCCGATGAACTGGTTCTGTGTTTTTTATAAAATAAAAAATTAGTGACTAGATTAGGATTAAAAAAAGCCTTATTGCTCAAGCGAAACAATAAAAGATTCCCTACAATACATTTACTGTGCTTCTTACAGGTGGAGCTTTCAAGAAGAAGTTTCCTGGGGCCAAGCCCATGACTTTAAACCAGTACATGGAGATTCATAAGCAGAACATTGGTCGGCCAAGTCCCACAAGGTAAGAATTCCGCTACGAATTCCGGGGTCCAATGGTCAAGCGCGCTGAGGTCGGGCAGCGAATCGTGGGTTCGAGCCTCGTCAAGCTGACAATATTTATGATGTCGTGTACGGTGGTACTAGCCGTCAACGGTGGCGCTTAGAGCATCGCCTTGAGCATTGTTTCGTTAACTAAACTAAAAATTCACGTATTATACAACATAGAATATAAAAAAGGCAATTATTTTTGCCCAAAAGTGATAAACGTCTGTTTTATGCCCATGCATTGCCATAATGCCTGTAATTTTTTGCTGGTGACAAAAGTTACTTAATTGGTGTAAGCACATTCATCACAAGATGATCCTTAATCTAGCTGCAAAAAAAATCTTTGTAGCCTAAACAATGTCAATGGCATCAACATAATCCAAATGATTACAATCGAGAGCTCGTACTGCAATGCATATATTTTTTCTTGCAGGCCAAACAGCAACTGGATGTTTGACACACCTTCCGTCGTAGCAAACAACCGCGTTGTTTCCAACCGCAATCCCCCAACTACAAGCAGCACGAGAATCTCCAGGCCACGTTCTGAGGAACGAGATTTCTCTCGGGAGGACGACTGAGTTTTCGAACAGCCTACACGAGCAGCCTATGCGAACAGCCAATACGAACAGCCAGTACGAACAGCCTATACGAACAGCCAATACGAACAGCCAATACGAACAGAAATACGAACAGCCAATACGAACAGCCAACACGAACAGCCTGTCTGACTACGTCAGCGTATAAGACCTGCTTATTTTGCGGCCTTTCTGATTGCTCGAACCTAAACTACCAGCCTTTTCCACCGCTCCCACCTTCAAAAACACTCCATTTAACGACTTGTACAATTACGGCTAGCCCATCTCGCAGCCTACCTGACTGCCAGCTTGACAGTAAATATGGTATCCTATTTGACCTATAGAACCTTAATAAGATAGCGAAGGGCTTGTCGTGTTGACGCGTTAAGTAGTCTTCGTATATTGGTTGACATTTTTTTATACACTTGAGTAGTTTTTCGTGTACGGCAAGAAAAGTTATTTATTTATTAACAAAATTTTAGTTTTCAACTTTAGCAATTTATTGACCCATTTCCAGATTATGAAAATAAAAAAATTGGCAATGCATCATCAGGGAGCATCTTTCATAAAATGAATTAGATAAAAAGCTTTATTCGTCCACCTGAAAAATACAGTTTTTCAAAACTTTTTGGAAGCCGGTTGCTGAGGAAAAAATTGTATCAAAATTGATTTAGAACAACTTCTCGTCTAGACTGGAAAAAAATTGATCCGATACTAAAGTATTTTTTGTATGCAGATATCGAAGCATCAATGAAGGACATTTTTCTCTGCTTATATCATTAAAAAATGTTTATTTCAAGCTGCCTTGAAACCAGCCGTTGCTGGCAAAACCAACGCGCGAGGCAGCTCTGATGAGACGTGACGATGAAATATTGCAGTGTATTCAATTTGTTTAATGTGTTAAGGTAGAATAGATAAAGGGTGGCAACGTGATAAAGCGTGCCATGATATATTGCTGCGGAAGCAATTTGTTTAATGCGTGAAAGGTAGAATATAACAAATACCTCACAGAGCACTAAGGATTTTCGATTAAGAAAGTTAAATGTCTATGTCTCTCTTTAGAACGTGCAGAAAGGAATAAATAGGGTATTTAAAATGACATTTTTTCTCTTATTATTATTATTCTATTATTCATGGCGTTTGGTTCATACGAACTTCGAGGGCACGTCACACATAAGGTTAATAGCAAGCGAAATATAAATAGACACAAGAAGGATGGGAACGGCTAAAATGACTAAGCACTTGATACATAGGTTCTACAAAATACATAGTTTCGTTTTTATGCGTCGACGAAACAGCTGCAACGAAGGAGCCGAAGTTACGGAAGCCAGCAGACTGTTCCAGGTTCTGGCGGCGGCGACCGAGAACGCTCTGTCGCCGACGGTAGAAAGACATGTTGATGGTACGACGAGGTCCGCTGTTGATGATGAGCGTATTCATTCGTCTTCTAGGAGGCAGATCCGACACGTGCGTCCGTGAGAGGAGGCGCCAGACCGTGAAGGCATCGGAACGTAAGAACAGCGACCTTGAACTGCTTGCTCTGCTGAATGCGCAGCCAGTGGAGATCGCGCATTATCGGCGTCACATGGTCGAAATTTCGCTTCTTGTACACAAGCAAAGCAGGAACTTTCTTTACCGATTGCAGTTTTTTAAGTGCCGTGGTCGGAAGTCTATAAAAGTGTGGCATTACCTCAGACCAATCTGGTCAGAATGAGCGCCACCACAAGGGCCTCCAGGACCGACCTCGAAAGACAGCGGCCGATGATACGTATTCGTCGCAGGGAGCCAAAGCAAGCTGTGGTGACTCTGGCAATGCGACTGTACATTGAAAGTTCCGAGTCCAGCAGAATGCCCAGGTTGCAAACTGCGGATACAGGCGTGACGAACTCGTTGCCCACCCGAAGAGGGTTGGCCGGAGCTGATGCTGGCGCCGAGCAGTCGCAAACCAAATAAAGACGGTTTTTGATGCATTGAGCTGGAGCCGGTTGGAGCGCATCCAGTCTGAGACAGCGTCCATGAAGACAGACATACGATCCTGCAACGCTGCGGCGTCAGCCGGTGCACCATTGCCATAAATTTGGGTGTCGTCGGCGAACATTTACGGATGCAAACTATGTGAATCGATTATTTATATCAAAATTCGATTATTTATCGAAATCGAATTTCGGGTAAGCCTCAGTATGATTGGAAGCGGCACAGAGGAGTTAATACGGTGTGTGAAATTTATAGGTACAAAGAGAGTAAAAATAAGAACACAATTTAATTTTAATTAAAGCCAGTAATGTACGTAAGTCTACGCACGGTGTGCTGTTATATGCAAGGAATTCTTTGTAATAATTCAAAGCACATACAATTTCTTATTAAATTTAATAATTTGCTGCCACGTTAACCAAAGAAAAAAATTCCGTATCTAGAATTTTGCCGAATTAATATGGCATCTTCAAATATTATAATAATATGATACATTGTATAATACTAGAAACAATACATAATATTATAATTAATTCTTAACAATCCTCCACTCAAACATGACAAGCTAAGTATTCTCATCCCTCACCGTGATTGCTCGATTCCTTAATTTTGACAGTCTACATGGCCAAATATGTTAAACTTTTTAATATGCGAACTTTTTCTGAAGTAACCAGCAAATAATAAACGCATTTGGGTATTCATTTGCCTAATCCAAGCGCTCGATGTGTTTCCTTCCAATTGAATGGGAGTTTGGACGGTCTGTAGAGCTGCGCGCTGAACCACAAAAATATCATTATTAAATTTTTGTCGTCACATTTTGAACAAATTTCAATTTGCGTACGTAAATTCGACCTTGCGTGAGGAGCGTAAATCTTTACACTATTCCGTCGTGAGACTTTAATTTTGCGTTTACAGACATGAAATTATACGTTAAAACATTACATAGGAATACTTAAGGTCATCATGATAGGTTAAATTTAATAAATAAAGGCCCATTAATTCTTCAGTCTTTTCCATATTGTGTTCCGCCACACACATAAAATCATAAACTTAATTTAAATCTCATCCGTTTCATGGAGTGTACTGCGAAACATAACACTATTAGTTAAAATTTAATAAATAACAAATAATATAAAAACAGCCACGGCCGAGTGGCTGAAATCAACAAAATTGGAGACCTGAGTTGGAGGTTCGAGACCCGCAACCATCTGCAAAAGTTGTGGTCAAAACGAATCGACGCAACATGGCCTGTTATTTAATGCAGAATTTATAGTACTTTTCCACTCTGAGTAGAAGTACTGAGTACTATATAGTACTTTTCTACACTGAGTAGAAGTACTGAGTACTTTATAGTACTTTTCTACTCCGAGTAGGAGTACTGAGTACTTTATAGCACTTTTCTACTCCGAGTAGGAGTACTGAGTACTTTATAGCACTTTTCTACTCTAAGTTCGCTATTTATAGAGCCTATAAGTTTTCTAGCCTGTTCCACGGGCTGCCCTGAGACCTGTAGCGCTGCCTGTTCGGCAGCAGGGAAGGATGCATCTTGGAGTTCACGAACTCGAAATTCGGGTGAGCCTCAATGGAGTTCAGGGGATGTTCTTGGCCGGGGAACACTATGGGGATGCTGGCGAAGGGAAACATTGTTGTTATTTATTAGTTATTTATTCACCGCGTGAGTACGGCCATCAAAAAATGTTCATATACTATATACTGGAGTGTATATTGTATAGTTACCGATGACAACGACATGAGATTTAGCAGAAAAAAAATTAGAAATATTTCGGTAAGTATGTATAAAATGAAATTATCAATGAAGCAGCTGATTAGGCAAATTTGAATTACTTTAAAATCATTATTAGTTCGCACTCGGAGACCGTTTAAAGCAGCTACAAATGCCATTGTCCCAAATAATAGCTTAATACAGAAAAAAATAATCTATTTTTAGTATTCTAGTCATTTATTTTTTACTTAAATTACTTTATTTGAGCCATATTTCAGCCCATGAATATAAATAAGCCAATTTGGTATGTTTATCAAAGCTTCCCACTAGTGGCAAGGCTCTGAAAACATGTTAGTTTAAACATCCAAAGTTTAAACCTCCTAAGTTTATACACACAATGTATAAATATCCAAATTTTAAGCACGCAAAGTATGAACATATAAAGTTCAGACATACAAAGTTTAAACATCCGAAATTTAAACATCCAAGGTTTAAACATTAAAAGTTTAATCATTAAAAGTTTAAACATCCAAAGTTTAAACATCCAAAGTTTAAACATCCAAAGTTTAAACATTCAAAGTTTAAACATCCAAAGTTTAATCTTCCAAAGTTTATAAGCACAATTTTTAAATATCCAAAGTCTAAACAAACAAAGTTTAAACGTTAGTTTCTACTTTAAAGTTACGCTGGTAGTACAACTTTAATGAAGCATTGATGAAAAAAGACAAAGCAACTAAATTTATTATTTACCTTCCCCCCTCCACGGCCAGCCCCCGGTAGGGGTTGCGGATGGGGCGGGGGGCGAGGGGGCGGGAGGTGATGGCATTGTACAGGGGTTGGTCGGGGAACACAATGGGGGTGCCGGGGGGGCACCACTCTTCCAAAAAGTGCCGATTCATTCTGCGAAAAAAAAATTCCGCAAAATGTAACAAGAGGTCAAAAGATTTTCGTTTGAATATTTTGCTTATTAATCTCTAAATTTTTTAGGATCCTTTGTGTAGTTGAATTTTGAAAACAAAATAAATGATTTTCAATCTTGAAAAGTACTATATTTTGCTAAAACGCTTTTAACAAATGTCAAAAAATTATTGAACCAGCACTAAACCATGGGTAACTTGGGTAATGTTCTTACTGACTGGTGGCTCGTTGAACGCTCCCTGACTGAGAAGTAATGTTTTTCAGACTTATTTAATTGTTTAACCTATTGAACATTCCGCAATTAGCAAGGTAAGTCTTTAAAAACATTTACATTGGTTGTACGATCATTTCAAAATGTTCTAATATTTCAAGGTGAAAGCAACATTAAAAACATTAAATTAAGGAACATTGTGCAGCTTGTATCATTATTGCAATTTATTAATGAGCCAGCATCATTAATTATTGTATAAAAAAGAATTGGGAAATGTCATATATTATAAAACTTATGTTTGCATTAGATATAATGAATATCTTGCCTGAGGGTGGCCGGAGAGCGGCTCTCGTTGATGTCAGGCAGCGTGCGTAGCGGCGGGCACACGAAGCGACGGAAGTTTATTCCTGCAACTGAACACTTGGTAAATATCCTTATAGAAAATCACGTTAATATATAATCTTCATAATCATAGTCGATTTCAATACGATCGTCATTTAATAGTTGGCGACTTAAAAATATCTTGGCGAACAAATAAAAAAAAATATTGTTCACTATAAGTTCGATGATATCAAATGCAACATTAATGTTGATAACTGTCGTTAACAATCAACTCAAGTAATTAACATACTTCTTCGTAAAATAAGTACAGGAATTGAAAAAAATTATTTGGACAATTTACTCACTAGTGCGGAAAAAATCGATGAACTGATCATGCAGTGTTTAAAATTGTAAATACATTTATTGCAAAAAATGAATATTTTTCGTAAAGTACTTACTTTGTTCAGGCTGGTATGGGAGAGCTACAACGCAGGCTACGGTAGAGACCAACAAGGTGAAAATTCTCAAATTTAAAAACATTTTAGTGATTTGTTTTATATGTTGCCTTTGATTTTTTATATGGTAAAAATTACTGGCTGCTATTGGAGCAAGAAGTAAATTATATCTGTTGGAAGCATGAAAAGTGTTAAGGGTAAAGTTGATGATTCTGACGAATCCTTAATTGCAGATTTTCATGTTCTACAAGAACACGAATAATAATTATGGTCAATAATTTTCCCAATGAAATTATTTGCTGTGAAAATGTACGTTTAAAAAAACATTGAGAAACACCTATTTTAAAACACATTATCCAAAACGGAGTCTGTCAACGCAATCTTCATAAGAAATCAGAATCAAATTAACATAAGAAAATTCGCACAAACAATTTAATCCCATGAGTAATACCCTATGTTGACATCCGCCAACTATGAGCTTTGCCTCGCGACTGCCTACGAAGGTGCCAGCGTCCGCCTTATATACCCGCAAGTGCATGTGTATGCAGGTTCACTGCACACACACATAAACACTCATCCAAGATTAGCGAAGACGTTCATACTACCAGACCCACCAATACTTAACAGAATTATACAAGCTTATATTACCTTACTAGTTTTTACTAATACGTTATTACCACCTTTTAATGTAACCTTTCAGTTTAGTACAGCGTGAGATTTTTCGAAGGAAGCAGGTATTTTCTGGTTGGTTGACAAAATTTTGATGCAGTGAAGTGGCAAGCACTATTCTCTTGGGCGGGAGCAAATGCCATATTAAAAATGTCTATAAAGTTATATGGGTTAACGTTGAAAGTCAATAAAAATTTGGTGAGAAATCATATAATGTCATATAAGGCTGTTCACTATCATAACAAACAAATTTTCGCCCTCATTTGTGGATCAAAACATTTCTTGGAACGGAACTGGTTGACGTCACGCAAGGTTCAGTCACTGACGTGGTTCACGGTCATGTATTATTGCGCTGTTGATCAAGACATCGCATCAATGAATCTCTTGTGCGCTCTCACGTAGTGTTGTTCGAAGCATTGAATTAAAAGGATGCCTATGATAATGGGTTTTCCCCTATAAAAAATGGTGCATTTTTGTCTTTTTTATTTCCCATTTAATGCTTATCAAAATGGAACTTTATATAAACAAATAATCTTCAAAAGATGATTTTGACCTCACCTTTCACCTTTCACCCATCTAATTGCTTCAGCGTGTAGCAGGCAATGATTTCTGACCTGGCAAATGACGTTGAAGAAACGCTTATTGAACGTTAATTAAACGTTGTTTTAATTAACTAAACTCGTAATCAACGTTGTATCGAAGTCATTTTCCTGAAGGTTCGGACAGCCAACACGGTCCAGCATCGTGTTGGTACATAAGCACATTAATAATATAAGAAGCTTGTAGCGCACAATATTTCGTCAACCGCCAGCAAAATTTCAAACCAACTTAGCATAGAATTAAGAAGCGTTTGTGAACTTGTGAATGGATTAATTTCAACAGGACTTATGTTAGTGATTGATAGTATCTTCATTTTTACGATAGAATACTAATTCTAAACTTTGATTGTCGCGTTACAACGGTGCGGTGTTCACAGGAAGGATAAACGAAAGAGCCATATTGAGTGATACGATCTATTAAAATGTAAAAGGTTACTGGTAAATTAATGCCGACTAACTGCAAAATGAAAGTCTTCAGTGCAATTATAGTTTAAAAGGAAACAGAAAATAATGTATATTTAATGTCAATTAAAAAGGCATGAATGCAGCCTCTATATACAGTAAAATAATGAGTTTCTTCTAAACGATGACTGAAGATTTGAATGAAAAAAGACACGCATAACTTAGATAAATCCCGCTAAAAATATTTAAGTATAAGAAATTCCCACATAATTCAATAAATTATTACAGATATCAAGCTTGATATTCATGCAAACACTTCACTTATTTGAAACGCAGGTTTAGAACGTGGATTATAATTGTAAAAAACATGATGTTCGTTACCCATAAATTTCAGTTTTTCAAGGTCCCTGCAGTGTTTCTGAGAATGGCCACGAATGTATAGGCACGAATTTCGTGACAAGCGCGACGGGTTTGCCTCGGCACGAATTCCGCGAACTTTTACTACGTGACTAACGAAGCTGCAGTGCTACGGGAAATCCGAATCGCGATAATAATTTTCATTGTAGTCGTCCCGCTAAAATGGCTAGAGAAGATGCACGCGGATAGTGGTTTCCTGTGTAAAATTTCGAGTAAAACGTCTCATAGTTTATAATTGCTAATAATTGATGAGAGATGCAGTGTTGGGTAATATTAGTTCAAAAATTAAATTCCTTCTACATTTCACGGTTAATTGAACTTTCGACTGGAAGTTAGTGAACTTTAATCGCAATAGACACAGCCAGATGTAATTGGCAGCTTAGCTTTGATTTACATAATGTTATTTCAACCGCCGACAGAGTAAGCTTTATTAATGGAGAATTCCTTTCTTAAAATTTGAAAGTAGAAATTTCGTATTCAAATTTATTGCGAAAAATTTATTCATATTCTGCGCTTTTTCTACATCATATTTGTGTGCGATTAGAAATTGATTATTCAGATAGGACTAGTGCGGTTTTATGTTTAATTATAACCATTAAATTAATGTTTATACAAAATGTTGACTGAAGACTTCGCGTCACACCTGACAGTTCTGAGGAAGAGTGTATATATCTCTGTGTGAAATCATACACCGCGTGACGCATATGTCTGTCATGCGCCCGGGTTTGCTTGACATTGAATACGCGATCCTCGAGCTATAGATTCTTGATGGCACCTCTGGACCGAGACCGTGACTGCAGTCATCGGGATCGCAGGTACCGGGACCGTGACTGCAGTCATCGGGATCGCAGGTACCGGGACCGTGACTGCAGTCATCGGGATCGCAGGTACCGGGACCGTGACTGTAGTCATCGGGATCGCAGGTACCGGGACCGTGACTGCAGTCTTCGGGATCGCAGGTACCGGGACCGTGACTGCGGTCATTGGGATCGCAGGTACCGGGACCGTGACTGCGGTCATTGGGATCGCCGGTACCGGGACCGTGACTGTAGTCATCGGGATCATGAAGGCGATAGAGGCCTGCGTCATCGGTGAAGCTGAGCGCATTTTATGCTTACGGGTGCGAAAAAGAACATAGACGTTTATAAGTGTTCTTGGAAAATAAATATCAGCAAGTCAGCAAAAATACAATTTTTTATTCTAATTTCGTTGAGAAAAATACTGAAAAGTACAATAATTTTTTCATTAAATATGTAGTTATGTTGCAAGCGTTCGTTTGGAATAAAATATGAATATTAACTAAATATCATATCAAATTCGTATTAACTTTAACTAACTCGTATTAACTTTATAGTAACTTTAAAATTTTAAGTGAGTCACTGCAAAAATGAACGTTAAATTAAAAGAAGATTATGATTTTTTTATATCCTCCGAAAGAAACTGGAATTTGCTTTTCGTTTTACAAAATTCAAAAAACAAGTATAAAAATGAAATTTCAAATGACAATAAATGTCAATACGGTCTATTATTTATTGTATTGCATTTTAATGCTATTTAATAATTTCATTACTTGGAAATAAATTATAGATAGGATTAGATTGCAACATTGCAACAAATAATAGAATTATATATAGCACCGTACAGCAATAAGATTTAATCATTTTCCGGTTTCGCAACATTATTTAATTTTTGCATAACATTATAATACATAACATTATAATTCCATAAAATTAAATACATAAAACTTTAATGCATAACATTATAATATATAAAATTGTAATACATAACATTTAAATACACAAGATTATAATACACAACATTATAATACATAACATTATAATACACAACAATATAATAAATAACATTTTAATACACAACATTATAATAAATAACATTATAATTCGATCTAGTTTTCTCTAGTGCTTTTCTAGAGCCCGAGGCATGAGAGCGGATGTGGGGCTCAAGGCGTATCCTGACTTCTGCGTACGGGGCGTAACGCTTCCCGCCTCATGAATGAATGAATGAATGACTAATGAGGCATTATTCAGAGTTTCGTAAATATAGAGTGAATTACCTCCTGTAGTCATTATATGAATTATTCGGGGCAATGGAGGTCCCAATGAAGTATAACAAATAAAATCATTAATTTATTGACAACATCAGTTCGAGGATTGGCAGGCTATTGCAGCCAATGTTGAATTGAATGTTTTTCGCAAAAAGAAATAAAAACTATTTACCAATGTAAAATTGTGTCAGTTAATTAAAGCTAATTAAGGAAGACCGAAAGGGAATCTACTCCCTTAAGAAATAAAAAGGCTAATAAGGAATAAACACAGGGTAGATCGTTACCATTTTGACGCTGTGATACAGATAGAAGATTACATTTACAATGCTAACAAAGGCAGTGAAATAGTCAAAATTATTCCTTGCCTTGAGTGAAAAAATTTTTGCATTGCTGAACTTTCTTCTTCAATGGAATAATGCGAAACGAAAAGAAAATGTTCTAAAAATAAATAGACTTAATGGAATGTTTTGAATAGTAATCGCTATATTTTTTCCTGACATGTGTAGCAAGTGACAGAGACCGTTCCCATATATCAGTCACACACTTTAGTTACATTTACCTCCATTTAACGAGAGAAAGAATCTCAGAATTTATTGAGAATTAATATCAAGATAATGTTAATGATATAATGTCAACGTATAAAGGGACCTCAGCTAATGCCATCCATACCTGATGACCTGGTAATTAAAGATCCTGCAGAAATACTAAAGGTTAAAGTCTAAGCGCTTCTGCATCTTTTCTTGCTCACTGTTGCTGCAAGCAGTTCCCAGAACAGCTTTAAACGAAGCGTTGTTTGCAGCTTCAACTAACGCGGCCTCATTGCCAGAGGCCGCAGATTGGTTCGCGGAGAATGAAATACAGATTTTCTTACTCTTACTGTACTTCTTATTTTCAGTCCATCTTCACATGACGTGCTCTGAAAAACAGAGTACCGTAAGAAGGCAGAACTTAAAATTAGTCTTAATGGTAATTCCTCTGAAACGTTAGTCATTGCAGCCTCAACAATGGCGATTGGA